CGAAATTTTATTATCGAAATCCCGATTGGGAAGCTTATAGGATTCTTATCGGATCGGCGTGACTTTCCGATAAGCAAAGCACCGATAAGTATTAAGGAGTTATCGGAAAGTTACCCGAGTTTTGCGCCGATCCGATAAGGTTATCGGAAAGGTAAATTTATCACTTTCCGATAACGGCCAGAATTCCTTATCGGATCGGCGTGACTTTCCGATAAGCAAGACACCGATAAGGACTTATCGGAAAGTTAAACTTTACCTTTCCGATAAGAAGCTTATCGGAAAATTAACCCTTTAACAGCGGGTGTTGCCTTTTGTTGCCTATTTGCAACCCCATGGTTATATTCGTGCGCTACGGCCTCCAAATTACCACAAATGGCCCCAGCTGTTCATATAATGTTTCAACGACCCAATATTAAAATATAAAAAATGCAACTAAAATTTTCCGGGGGGTCCGGGCCCATATACGAAGCTGACCCCCCAGTATACTGCTGCCTGTGTTGTTGCCCAAGGCAACAGGTCTGCAGGGGCCAACCGGGCAACATCCGGGTCTTATCCGGGTGTTGTTGCCGCCAGGTCCAGGGCTACGTCTCTGCCCGGGTCCTCTGGCCGACCGTCCATGATGGTTTAGTGGGGGGGAGCTGTGCTAGAGCTTGTTGCCATGTGTCAATCATCCGCACAGCAGGGCAACACCAGTCATTCAATCTTGACCGTCCAGGTAGGCTTGTGACTGGGAGGCAACATTCCAACAACGGGGCCCTCTGTTTCGACTCTACGAGCAGTCGAGAACTACCGTAGTCTACGGGTGCAGGCTTCCGTTATCTTGTTGCCCTTTTCCCTGGCAAAATGGTAAAAAGGGCAACAATAGAAATGGGGCCTAAAACGTAACAGACTGGCGCAGACTGCAACTACATAAGCAACATTGCAAACCCTTGGAAGCAGCGGAGAGGCCCCGTTTTCAGCAAAGGCAACACGGCGAACGCGGCGCGCGGGCGCGCTGCAGCAGAAGCTATGAGCAACAAACAATAGCAGATCGTAACAAGCTTATACCTATGTTCAGGTGTGTTGCTCTTATAACTGTTGCTTATGGTTGCCCCAGCCTTCACCGGTCACCGTGTCCGAGGCAACAGTAGCAACAAGGCCTCCGGAGCCTGGGCCCAAGGTGACTTGCAGGGAATCTTCGTTGGCCTGGTCGGAAAGGCCTTGGAACAGCAGAGGGTAGGCTGCTCGTTGGCCGGAAGCTCGCAGCCTCGATATCGCTCGATTCCGAACCGTCACCGGCCGGCGCGCCGGTCCGTCAAATTTTCCGATCGGCGCCGTCCGATCGCGCGAGGTTCGTCGATCGAACGGTCAAATCGATTTTTTGCGATTATCGATAAAAATCAAGTACGGCGATTCTGACGGGTTTTACCCCGCTGTTAAAGGGTTAAAATGCTGCGGGTGCGAATCGCCCCTAAGTTTCAATCAAAGTCGTGTTTGGATCATGATGTGCTCGCGTGGCCGCGGACCACTGGCACTGGCATTGGCAGGATTTTCACGATTTTCAAGGGTGCGCTACAAGTTACAACTTACTAAAACAAGGCAGGGTGCACTGATTTAGAAAATGGCGGGCGCTCAGCCGCAGCGTCTCCGCGTTCTCTCATTGCTCCCAGCAGCAACCGACATAGTGCAATGTCTGGGCCTCTCTCATTTGTTGGTTGGCCGGTCGCACGAGGTAAGCGCTGGGTGCCATGCGATTCAGGCTCCAGTTTTCTTTTGTGAGTTGTGAGGTCCAGCAAGAATTGCCCTTTTGCCCATTCTTGGATACATAATCATGTTTGGAGAGGGTCCGTTTTCAGGGGATGAGGAGTGCCATTCTCAAAAAAGAAGTGCCCTTCTTTGAGGAGGTTCATACTACAAGCGCCTTAGTGGTGCCACTTGTCTCGGGGCACGTCACCCTGCTCAGTAAGTGAAATAGCCACGCAAGCGCCCGAAAAGACTGTCGTGCCCTTTAAGTTTGGAGGGTCGACTAGGGGTTTATAAACATTACAGGCTTATCAGCTGGAATAAATGTGCTCCGATACAGCATTTTTTCACATGATTGTAAGTTTGCTTTGCATAAACTTTGTTTCTCATGAATAACTTAGTTGTTCAAAGTGGTGGTTGTACAGACTGGTCCCTGAATCAAATATGATAAGTTAATGTTATAATACTGGGACGGGGTGGGGTTAGTAAGGGGTTTTAGTGTGGGCACGGGTGCAGAACAGGTCAAAAGTTTGGGTTTAGATTTTAGTAGTGACTTCGTCCTCAGTTTAGCTTACGCTTGTTTAAGTACTCCTGAGAATCGTGTGGTTTGGCTCCCTTTCAACAGCCAACCTTTGCAAGGCAAAGATGCCCTCCCAGCTTGCCCCTTTCCATTTTGTCTGCAACCTTGCGCCAATGATCCCAATCTGTGGTCTCCATCGACGTTTAGAGTACTCTCTTAAAGTATCGCTATGGAAAGCCACATACATGGCCCCACAGGCTGCCTTCTAGTCCTTCGTCATGCAGCGACTTTGATTCTGACGTTCATGCTTTCTTCTGTGTTTGGTTCGAAGCTTCTGCTTGCAGTCTTTTGTTGTTCTGTCCGCAAGCTGTCATTGCTGAGTCCCGTTGCTGTTCCTTTGACATCCAAAAAGAGTGTGATGATACTTTATAGGCAAGGCCCCTTCTCCACACAATCTTTTTTCTGGGTCCCAAAATAACACTCTTCTCCTTTATCATTTCATCCCACCTTCATGAACAATCTTATCCACTTGTTGACGTAATTAGGATGGAATATAGAAAACAAGAGAGAGGCAGGAAAGAAGGAGAGAGATCAAGAAAGGCAACATAAAGAAAGGGTTTCCGAGCAAGGCAGGGTTTGGAGTAAATATCGTCCCCTCATCTCTGCAGTGCGATGCTGAGGGCTGCCTTTCTGTGCCGTCCTGCACCGAGTCCCGCTTCGGCGAACCTGATCAGCTGTCCAGTCGGGAGATCCATGATGCAAACAGCACCTCTGGCGCAGGCCTTTGGGAAGCCGCCTTTGGGATGGGCCCCCAGGCGGCTGCCGCGGTGGAGTGGGGCCTGTCGCCGTACCGAACCGACCCGCGTTTAATTCGAGAGCTCCAGCCGGATGTCGTTCTAACGCAGGTGCGCACTTTGATTTGAACAGTTTTAACATGAAAAGCTGTCTTTACCCCTCTTTCCTGAGTCGAGGTAATGACATTGTGATCGTCAATCAATGTGCAGGAGCATGTCCTTTATGTAGCTGCTTTTCAACGAACAGGGGGCGCGTCCTTTCTGACTTGACGTTGGGAAGGTCCGATTACATGAGGATGGTTAAGTACAGGCAGAAAGAAGTTGACAGCACCGTACAACGATGTCAGAAGAGTCCTTGCCTAGGAACAGACGACTTTGTCTCCTGTTTCGAGACCGGTGTGCTCGCTTTCTTGAAGCAGGGCTGTTGGAAGTAGTTGAATTGATCCATCATCCGCGACTCTCGCTCAAACTTGATACAGTCGTCTCATCTTTGATTCGCCCACCTTTGCTGCGTCTCAAAAATCTTCGAAAAGCTCGCGCACACCGATATGAAGACAGAATCGGAGAGAGTACCACACATTCTGCAGGTACAAACCGGCCACGGCGCGCTTGACCAATCGGAAGTCGGCGACCGGTTGTCCGAATGCGTCGGCAAGCCGGTCCGGATCGTCCACATGGACCCCCAAAACTTAGAGGACGTCTGGGGGGACTTTCTACAAGTGGCGAACGCTCTACACGAACCAGAGAAAGGGAGAGTCGCAGTGGAGCAGATGAAGGACAGAATCCGGTTAGTGCAGGGGTTAGCGAAAGGCCGGCAAAAGCGGCGGGTGCTGTGCTTGCAGTGGATGGACCCGTTGTTTGCGGCCGGCGCGTGGGTGCCGGAATTGTTGAGCCTGGCCGGGGGCGAGTCGGTTGCGGCTGAGGCAGGGGGCCCGTCAGTTGCCTTAACCGAGGAGTCGCTAACCGAAGTACGGCCAGAGGTAGTTATCTTTGCGATCTGCGGGTGCGATTTGAAACAGTCTGTGAAGGAGGTCACGAGCGCCGCGAAACGAGGGATCTTGGAGCACGTGGAAAGAGTCAAGGTCGGAAAGTTGGCGATGGCAGTAGTGAACGCAGCGAAATTGTTCTCGAGGCCGGGCCCGACGCTCGTCGAGTCGCTAGAGGTGATTGCAGAGGTGTTGTATCCGGAGAGCCAGCCTTTTGGTCACCGAGGAAAATTGTGGACGTCCTTGGAGCTTCTTCAGAGTACGTAGGTCTTGCCTTCATGAGCAATCGATTGGAAGCAGCTGCAGCGCGCGGTGCAACTAAGTGGCACGCATTCACATACAAGACGTCGGGAGTTACTCTCGAAAGTCCATTGTCGTGGCCTATTTTGCCAGGTAGAGGCAGCCTCGATTCCTGCACATACAAGCTTCCATAAAGACTCAACATAGACTTACAAGGAAATGCAACGCTAGATAGATCAACCACACAGATGCCGCCGCTTGGCACCATGAGTTAACTTCTGATCGCCATGGTAATCATTGAATTTTTTGAAATGCGGATTCCGATCGTTTGATGGCGGCCGGGCAGGTCGCGGACGGTCAGCAAGGCGTCCGTCAACTTCAGGCGGCTAGCAAACGTATGGGCAACGACGCTTCCGGTCGGATTCGCATGTCTGACCGTACTGCGGTACATGTGCCATGCTTAAAGGCCGTCATCCACATATGAGGATACATATCCCAATTCCCGCGTTGTACGTCATGGTATTCACGCCAGACGGTCATTCGCCACATGCATGAACCATGTTCAGGCAAACCGTCGCGCGCGGTCGCAACATAAGTCAGTATATACTCTGATCAATCTCCAAGAATTATGAACGTAGCACACGCAGATTAAGCTGCCGCGGGTAGGCTAGCCTGGCGTTCAAACTCAAAACATTAATTTCCGACCATGTATCAGTGCTATGGAAGCCTATGGCCCATATGGCTATGGCGTTTTGAAAAGATCGCTATAGAACATCATTCACCAAGCACTGGCGAAGCTTGACATTGCTCAACCTAATAGTCTGGTTCATGGTCGCCCAATGGTCACTCGTTCGAATCTGCAGATATGCTCATGATATGCAAGCAGCGGAATTGCGATCAGGAAGTCATGGGGGACGAAAAAGTTTGGTGCGACTCCAAACAGTTACTCGTCAGGATTTTGTGACAAGGTGCTGATCGTCCCTGATACGATAGTCCCTGCCATAAGAACTCCGATGGCCGGCTGAAATACAGTCCCCCATAAGGGTAACCACACGTCGAGGAGTTTCGTAGAGTCGAGCGCTTGCCTTTCAACAACTCCTGCGAATAGATACAAAACAAGGGTAAAAAAAGATTCGTCAGGTCGAGGACAAAGGCACCAAACATCACAGCATACTTTGTGCGCCACTGATATTGTCGTTCAGAAAACCGGATGGAGAAGAACGAGCCCTGATCACTGCTTCTAAGGTCGAAACTCGGAACAACATCAAGACAAAGCGTTTTGTGAAGCAGATGTCAGAGCAAAAAGGTTTGAAGCTCAGATCCTGACTCTGCAAGCAGTCCGATAGAGAGTGTCCTCGCTACCCATAGGAAAGCTTTCCTTTTAAGAATCCAGCATAGACCAGATGACTGTGGTGAACGAATCCAGTCGATCAGCGTTGGCTGATGAAAATTTGACTACAGTACTTTGCTTCGACCCCTCCCTTCTTAATATTTGCATGGCCTGCCAGTTCATAAGGTGTGATCGAACGTCTTCTCCTCAAAAAACAACAGTGATGAAAGCCATGCTCTGGGGCCGAAAACATGGTGGAAGGTAGGAGCAAGGTATGAGACGTAGAAGAATATGTATTCTCGTTGTTTACCTGCAATCAGCCAGAGCAAAACAAGGATGATGAAGAAGAAGTCGGCCACGAGAATGGTGTCTATGACGCTCTTTGTTGCGCGGGTTGCATTGTCGCTGAACTCCTTTGTTGCTGCAAAGAAACTCTTGGCCTCTTGAAACTCATCGCTGCTCAATCGGTCCTGCACAAGTGCAAGACTGGTGTTATGCAATGCAACATGTGACATTGAATTTGCCTTGATAGAGTCAACGAGCAAAAGGCCGTGGAGACTGAATTGAAGTGGACGACAATATTGTGACATGGTAAGGGTTCCAACACCAGACCATGCTTGGTACTCAGGTTAGGAACCAGAGCAACAATCTATATAGATCAGCAGAAGATCCCTGTACACATCCCTTCACTTGCTTTGGCCAAGAGGAAGAATCTGAACATGGCAAAGGAATCTACACAGGAAGCTTTGGCTACAAGTCTTGGTTTAGTAGGCCAACTTAGTAATCTGGCTTCATAATTTGAGCGCCAAGTCAGTAGGCCCCTGCCAAAAGCAAAACCTGTAGGCGTTAAGGAGCCAACCACAGCGATAGAGCAAATGCCAAATGCCTGTTGAGCAGATTGACAACTTCGTTGGTTTTGGGACAGACTCCTTCTAGGGTGGCGCACATGGTATTATGAATCAGCGGTGCACATGGCAAAGCCATTTTGAAAGTATAAAGTGCCTGCCAACGGAGCTTACCCCAGGACCATCACGCCCAGCCTTCAGTGCCCTGTCCTTATCCTCCAGGCCCCTTATTCTTTCCAAGTCCTGCTGTAATGCATCAGCACCAAAGCCACGGGCCTCAGAGACAGCCTCGCTCAACGTTCTCTTTGCACCTTTTGATGGAGAAGGATCTGCCGCTTCCAGAATCTTCTGCCGCCGCTGACTCTTTCTCTTCTCCTCCTGTCTCTTGAGGCGCTCCATGTCCCTTCGCAATTGTGCGGGGTCAAAGCTGCTTGAAGAATCATCAGCGTCGCAAAATACCACCCCTTTTCGCTGCTTCTTTTGCCGCAGGCCAACCACTGACGTCAACGGGGAAGGCCTCCACAATTGCTCAATTTGACTTCCTTTCCCTAATATGGTGCGGTTACTGAGCAAGGCCAAAGAAGTTCCCTTTGACTGTGCACACTGGCAGCATTCCGTTCTAGAATGCTGTTGGGAAGTTGACATGATGTGAGGTGCAGCAGCATTCGCTTGGCTTGTCTGGAGCACTGCGATGGACGGTGTAAAAGCTAACCCAGAGGACTGGCAAGTTTGAAGTAGAGCCGCCATGACTGAAGCTCACACTCACGCCCTGTAAATTTCTCGCACCAGTTGTACATAAGCTGTGAGGGCGCCTGTCAACAAGAGCTTAACAAAATAAAGGAAAAACTCCTGGCGCCCTTCGAAGTTTGAAGGCTTCTTGACGAGAAAGTACCCAGACTCTAGAGCTGAGCAGAGCAGGAACAGCCAGGCGGTTACCGAGTGGTTTAGCATATGGGTCTCGCTAACCGTTGACCCGTATATTACCAGCGCGGCCGCGTGACCTCCACGTAAAGCGCGGCCCGGCCGCCCTGTGGGAAGGTGGTCGTGCACTGAGGTGCATGGTGCAATGCAGATCATCAGTGTCCCGCGACTGGCCTGGCCATTGTCCTTTCAACGGTCAGGCTTGATCGATCTAAGCAAATATCGAATTGCTTGGTGCGAGTGGAGAAGGTACAATCGTTTGGAATTATACATGTGGATGCTGCTTCGCGTGATGCAACTGACATGAAGACTCGAATGGCCAATCATGTCTTGGTGCATTGAAACTGGACGTACGCGATCTTGCACATGTGCTAGGCGGCTCGGATGTCGATTCCCGGTCAGTAAACGAGTAGCAAGCTTGTATATGTTGCAAGATTGAAACTTGCCATCATTAACCATGAAACAACAAACCAGGTACGTGGATCAGTCAACAAATGTATCTGAACTTCAGCTCAAGTCGACCAAAAAGCGTTGTAGATTTCACATATTTCTTCTTTGAAAGCTCGTCAAGCTGCTGAGAAGGGTAGCCGCCATTGAAACCACTCCAATCGCTTGAAAGTGCAATCACAGCACATTCGCAAAGTGTCCATTGCATGACATCACGACCGCCAACCGCTTAGCACCGCCCGCCAAGGAAAATCTCAATCTCGCTTGCTCAAGCTAATATCCTCAATCCTGGTTCCGCTCGCCGCCCGAGCACGTGCTGACCGGCCGTGAAGTCAACCATTCCCGGCAGCGTATGCTGCTGACACCTGGACGGCCGCTTGTCGCCCTGGAATCCGTGGGTCACCGCTTCCTTGCAGAGCGGTTGGTTGCACTTTGGCAGCGACCGGATATTGATCATTCCGGGCTGCGCGTGTCGCTTGCAGAACGACGGGCGCTTGTCGCCCAAAAAGGCGTGCGAGAAGCGCTTCTTGCAGCCGGGGGCGAGGCACAGCTGGTGGGCGCCGGTGCGGACCATGCCCTGCGGATGGGTAGGATGGATAAGAACGGGGACGGTTTCGATCCAGAAATAGGTACGCTGGTGGGCCCGGCAACAGAACTTCGGAACCGTTTATTGACGGAGCAGCCCCCAGCTTCATCTCTCCAGACCGTTAAGCCCTCCAGAACCCCTCGTGCGGAGGGGTTCGCAATCATTGCCCGCTGCCAACCGCCGATGCGGACGCCAGAGTTTCCGGCGAAGTCTGCGGGTCATAGACTGAGGGTAATGATTCCGGTAACGGATTGCGTACGGCTATGTGGCAAAGGCGAAGTGCGCAGGGCTGGAAGGTGATGTCAAAAACAGTAAACGCCAATCGTCCGTCATGAAAAAGGTTCACTGGTGAAAATTCTGGTGAAGTGAAGACTTTGAGCGCCAATCGTGAGGAAAGGTTAAGGGTGTAGATGACGAATTTTCGAATACTTGGAGCTACCGTGAAGACCAGTCGGTTACCGCTTACGATTCGCGACTGTTTCTTGTACACGATCCGAGACAACCGGTCACTTAGACCACCGCACCTACTTGGCTGCGGAACGACAGAAAGCGGCAACAGCTTTAAAACGACACATCTCAAGAAGCCATTTCAAAAATCGTACGTCAAGCAAGCCATCGTCACACCAAGGAGCAGCAGTAGCCTTACGGGCTGCTTGTGCGTGTGGCATGCGATGGCCGTCTTTTGGTCCTCCCAACCCAGGGTGGCGACCTTTTCGCACCCCTCGGCTTTGCAGAACCGGGCGTTGTTCCTGCAGGGAGACCATCACCAGCCAGATCAGGCACAGATTTGTTTCTGCCAAAACGTCAAGATGTTGAATAACGGTTAAGTGCCCGGGTGACAAGTCTGCACCCTCTCATGCCACGAAAGTTCAACTAATCTCTATCAATACAATGTTGTTCGGACATTCGTGAAGCTAGGCCCGATATACGGGAAAGTTCTGGAGAAGTTAGCAGAGTCGCCAAACAAGCACGCGGCTTTGGCGGCTCAACCGGTTTCCTCTAGGCATGATGCGAAGTCGCAAAACGACTCTTCTCGCTACACATCCTGTCGCTTTGACAAACGCATCTCGTTCACTGATGGTCTCTGCCTGTATCTGCCAGGCCTTCAGAGTGTCAATCCTGATTTCTGCATTCTACTTGGGTGGAAAGGAAACACGTCCGCAGCAAGGAAGTGGGCGTATAAAAAGAGAAAGCGGAGAGGAGCCGAGGACACTCACGCGGCGTTGATCATGCCTGGCTCCGCGTGCCGCGTGCAGTGGGTAACCCTTTTCCCGGGGAACCGGCAGTGCGCCCGCTTCTGCGAAGGAACAGTGAATGGTCACTACATCGACACCCGCGTTCCAAGCAAGGGGCTAATCCACAGTGCAGGACTTGGTTGCCGAACCTGGAAAAGGCTCCAGAACTGAGTCGCTGGATGGCGACTTTGTCAACGAGCGGTTCTTCGAAACCCGTAACAACGGAGTCTGAAAAGGTTCTGGAAAAGGTTGCAGGGAAGTGGCCAGTCAAGGGGACTGTTTAAGTCGAGGCTTTGCGCTTTCGACGGTCGACCTGGCACTCGCTTCAGTTTCCACCACCTTTTGCGGCTCACAGAATAAACCAGCCCAGCTTCTCGCAACGTGATAACCCCAAAGCAGGACTCATGCCACCCGCCGTGCAGAATCCAAGCGGCATGCCTCATGCGTATGCACCCAATACATACGAGGTTAGCAACCAGACCAGCATCATAGAGTCCGAGAAACCTGGTCTTGCTATTCAACAAAGAGGATGAAAAGCTGTCTCGCAATCCTTCAGGTCCAAAAAGCATCCCAAATTCCGACTGCATAAGCCAAAGTAAAGCTTCTCAAGATCAGTGCATTCATTTCCAGACTTGCTTGCACCAGAGCGTGCGTCACCCACCTCGCAACCCTCGACGTGGCACCTCTTGTCCGTGAGCATCCCGGGCAGCTTGTGCGCCACGCAGCGCGCGCGCCGGATGCTCCCGGGGCCGGTCGGGTAGCCGAACGTCGCGTACTTGGAGCAGCCATCGAAGCGGCACCTGTTCTTTATGCGCTCGGTCTCCGGATTGGCTGCAAATCGAGAGTGGGCAGCATTTAGGCATGGCGGATATGGAAACCCGTTAGTTCTCCTGCTGGTTTTCTTCCTTACCAAGATATTTGATGTATGTTCCAACAAGTTCCATCTTTTCATCGGGTCACAGTAGCGGGAGACTTCAGCAGGTTCGACTCATTCCTTATTGCTTTCTGAAAAGTCCGTTCAATGTCAAACAATCTGACGGCCTGCACTGAGGTGGACCAATTTCGACGACATACCGCGAGCACTGTTTGATGTGGCACTTATGTGGGCCTTTCATCACAAGGAAAGAGTCAGGGATCAGTGTCGTCTGCTCTCAGTCCCTGTGCAGAAATGACCAACTGCCTCGATCCAGAATTGCAATAATAGCTGAAGCAAAGACTCGGACTTTGTTAGAGCGATCGAGATTCTGGTTGCCATCAAGCCCATACGACGACAGCCTAAAAACTGGCTTTTTTGAAATGGGCAATGGAGTACTCACGTGCCCTTCGTGGCTTTGGCGGCGGCCGCTCCTCCGCCGGCTTTCTCGTCCCGTCCGGATTGAAGTACCGCGAATCTGGCTTTCGCACCCTCTTTCTCTTGGCCTTCTCCGCTCCGACTCCGGTCCTAGCACCCACCCGAATTTCAGTACCCTCCCCTCCAGCCGCCCCTCCAGGCACCCCCCCTCCTGACGTTCCTGCTACGTTATCCCCTCCCGTTGTCCCCGTCGCTCTAGTTGCCACCTCTCCCGACGCCTCAGTAGACACCCCGGTTCCTAGCTCGCCTGAAGTCCCTTCCCCGGCGACCTTCTTCTTCCTCTTCCTCGGAGCGGGGTCGCCGGTCTCTGCAGCGCTCTTTCGTTTCCGTGGCGCCCTTTTCTTGGCCGGCTCGGGCGCCTGCCCCGCGACCGCATTTTCCTCCAAGCCCATATTTGTTTGTTCGCTGGGTCGGTTAGGCTGTCTTGACTGTCCCAGTCCAAGGCCAAGACCCTGCAACCCCACCGGAATGCCAAGCCCGGGCGCTATCCTCGGGTCCACAAATGGCGGCTCGACAGCTGGCGCGATCGCTCCGACAGGTGTACTGGCCGCTTCAGTTGCGCTGGCAGACCCGAGACCCGTGGCTTGGGTTCCCGCATCCGTCAGAACTGCAGGAATGAGTTCACTTGGGAAGTAAGCGCGTCTAACAGTCGCCCCAACAGCTGAACTTGGCGCCGCCACCCCTGCCCCAGGCATTCCGACAGCTTCCGTTGGTAGCAGGGATCGAGCCCCTTGGTTGCCAACGGATCGGAAGGCGATACCGCTGGTCGCCTCTGGCCCACCCACACCAACACTTCGGTGCGCGACCAAAGCTCCACGTTCTTTTGGAGGAACTCCCGGACTCCCATCTAGTTGCTCAACCCCGCTAGCCGTCCGAAAACTTCCGTTACTCTCTCTCGCTTCCCCACTGGACCGTCCAAGCTCTACGCTCTGCTCCCCTTCTACGTATCCCTCCTCGCCCTGCCTGACGTAGTCCGTTTTCCTGGGAGCCGGTGCGGTTGGCTTCTTCGCCGGCTGCTTCCCCCCCTTATACGTCATCAGCAGCTTCCGCCTATGCCGAGCCGCACTCTTGAACACCCCGCTCTGCAACAGACCCTCCAGAGCGGCCGCCCGGTCGGCAGTAACCCCACCCAACCCCGCAGGGTTATCAGTAACCGGAGCTTGGTTGTTGAGATGTGGGTCGACGGGGTTAGCTGCAGGGTTAGGGGAAACCCGGGCAGGACCAGCGGGCGTGACCACATTGTGAGGCACCGACTCTCGCCCGGAACCCGCCTGCGGTCTACTTGGTGCAGCCAACCCTTTCGAAGCCTGGTCAGGCCTCTCTACTTCGACCCGACTTTGCAATGTGCGAGGCCCAGTGATCGTTTCGATTGGCAAAGGACCGTCAGGACGGGGGGCGACGGCGACATTCGGCAAACGGGGCACACTGACAACGGGGAGTTGTGGGACCGTCCTTTCAACCCGGGTTTCGCGGGCAGTCGTTTCTAAAGGGGCCCTGATCCCTGAGAGAGGCACAGAAGCGGACGCTTCGCATACCGAGGGCACTGACGAAGCCCGAGCAGCTTCGGTGCTTCTCGCTACGGAAGACGTAGCTGCGGCGGGCCTGTTCGGGGTGACTGCAGGAGCGTTTTCCACGGCCCCGAACGGTATGACCGGTAAGACCCGACCCGGGGGAAGGTTCAAATCCGCGAGAGGAGGGTTTGCAAGTTGATCTTCTGATCTCACAGGGTCGCTCCCACCATTTCCGGTTGCTGTGAATTCCTCCGAATGCATCTCGACTTCGTTCTCTCGCTGTCCCCGCTCAGTGCTGGGCCTCGGCGGCCCCACATTGTGCTGCCCGTCCCGCTTGGCCCCGACCTCTCGGTACGCCGCAGCTTCTTCGGCTTCGGCGCCGCTCAAGCCCCCGTTCAGGATCTCCGCCAACATTTCTTCGTCGTCAGAAAGCACCCCCGTTCCGTCTACGCCCCCATCCTGCTCCTCAGGTGGGCCCCCCCTTGGCGCCTGCGTATCAGCCCCCCTGTCGAACTGCGCCTCCTGCGTCCCGCTCACATGCGCACCCGACCTGTCAAATCTCACGGCCTCTGCCGCACGATTCGCAATCGATCGGTCCAACTCTGCCCCTCTCGATCCCCCTTCTCCCCTTGCCGGACCTTCGTCCCTGACAGACCTTCCTTCCTCTGTAAAGTTAGCAGCTTGCGAAACCCCCCCATTGTTCCCTCGCGGAGCACTCGCCAGCCCCGCACCCCCTGACTCCGTCCCGCCATCCGTGATCTGCAGGGGTGGAGCTTCCCCGAGGGCGGGTACCGCTGCGAGGGTCGCCTCGAGCTCTGCAATCCGTTTCTTGAGCGCCTCCTCCTTCGCCTGGAACTCACGAAACTGGCGCATCACCTGCTTCTGCGCCATCTTGTCTGCCTCGACGAGCGCCTTGCGATACATGGTCTGCTGCGCGACGTTTGCGGCCTGCAGCAATCGAGTTGAGCTCCGTTCTGCCCCTAAAAATAGCCTCGAGACTTCCCTCATTGTTTCTCCCTGTCAGGAATCTCCCTTTTTCTCTGTCCAATTCATTGAGATCCTTTCCAACGAAATATTTCTTGTGTTATGCGATGGTGCGAATCATATTCAAAGGGCTATTCAGACACAGGAGGGTGAGGAGCTTTCCACAGTTCAAGTCGTCTCTCATTCATTGCAGCCAACAGACGACCAATCTCCAATTCAGAAGCCCCGATCGACAGGTCTCACCTAGGCAGCTGCACATTCCCTTTGTTGCTCAACAAACCTGTATACCTCTCCCTTTGTTGCTTTCTCTTCGTTCACTTCCTCAACATCGAAAATCTTGGCAAAGAGAGTGTGCACAACAGCCCCCACCTTGAGCTCCTCGTTTTCCTTCTCAAGGACGTGCATTCGCGCAGACAGGCGCAGCAGCATCGTAGACTCGTCTGGAGGCTGATCAGCCTCGTCCGTGAGGCCCAGGGCACGCCCCTCCGCCCTGAGTTGTTCAAGGAAGTTTGGGTCCCCGTTGACCTTCTCTTCATAGAGTGCCATCTGCCTGCTCAAGGAAACAGGGTACAGTCAATGGGCACAGCTGTCTCAACCATGTGGAAGTGCTTCAGAGGAGCTCAGTCCAAGGGGATACTTAAAAGAGCTCCTCTAAGGGGATACTTGAAGCTAAGGGTACAAAGCAAAGGCCAGGATCTCGATTTTACTAAGAAGTCCAAGCGTGACTGTGACGCCCAAGGTGATACTTGATTGCATTCAAAGTCAACCTCATTTCCAGTTGGCGGCAGAGAGATGCTGATTGTAGGCAATCAGAACAAGGCGTTCGCCTGAACATTGAGCTTGCAAAATGGATGCATACAGAAGAGCGAAGGTTCCAATTGAGTTGCACAGTCAATTTCCAAAAAGTCTCCGCGATCTGACCCCCAACGAAGGAAGAGGGAACGAAAGGGCATTTTACAGCAGTCTGAGCGGTAGTTTATTCTGGTTATTGTAAGCCACAAAAATGGTTAGTGGGGCTGAATCGGAACAAGGCCTACCTGTTCCACTCTGCGAGAAGTCTCTCATCCCCAGGGAGCCTCGCCCAATCGTGCGTGTTGATGTCCATTCCATTGGCATCCAGGAAGGCAACTGCTTCCGTGTGGGAACTCTGGCGGACGTACTTGCCATAAGGATACCCCTTGATCTGATTCTCCGCTCCATAGGGGCCTACAGACACAACAGGCTTCAGGAAGAGCAAGGAGGAAAATGGCCAATACTAGTAACGGAGCGATTGAAAGATGTAGATAAGCAATCAACTTAACCGAAAGCCTGAGTGGGGGCATCGCAACACAGGCACTCTCAATGGATGCCAGGTGCAGGCTTAGAGCGGGCCGGATTACGCTAGATTAAACAAGACTCTGAACTCATCCAGCTTCTATTATGCATAGACCTTAACCATGTGTAGGTTACAATGTGGACTTCAAGACAAAGCAGACACCATCGAGCTCCCAGAACAAAACAATGACAGAGATACGAAGCTGTTTCCTGAAAATAAGAAGGGGAACAAAGAGGAAACGCACCGTTAAGCAGAGCATACAAACCAGGGACTTTCCCTCTGACCACCACCCACGGCCTGCTTGGGTGCCGCCAGTAGGACTTGCCATTGACATTCGTAGTCCCCTTGTACACCCTGGTTTCTGCGGCAGAAGATGCCTTGGGCGGCATTTTTCAGCTTCTTGTCTTAGACAACACCGATTTTATTATGGAGCCCAGCGCTTTGGCACATTTGCCTCCGACCATGTATGGCCCCAAGCAGGAAGTTCATAGCCAATGTATGAGCACTGGCCTTCCATCAAACTTTAGGTTCAAACAGGTTCAACTCTCAAAAAGTCTAAGGTTTCTAGGCAAAGCACAGGTCTGCTCAAGATTCCCTCTCAACTCTGCTGCTTTTCAGGTTTAACCTAGGTAGCTTGCAGCGCTTTTTCCCAAGTAGGTTTGTATAAGCAAAATTGGGGATATACAAACATCCAATAAGAAGGCGGGCTGCCTGACCAAGTTTCGCGCCAAATAAGCCTTCATGTCGGATTTTCATGTAATACTTTTAACAACCTTGCAACTTCTTTATATATTTGCTGATTTGGACTTCGCTTATGTGATTCTTTTGACAGCCTTTTGTTCTGAAAACTCAGAAGCAAGCTGCTCCAACTTCAAGCCAGGGAGTCAGCATGCAACATCTGCTGGGCTCTGTGTCGATAAACAGCATGCAGGCGCCTGCATTCGAGACCTCAAGTTGATTGCCTTGTTGCAGTGCTGATTTGAATCTGCTGCCTTCAACCAGAGGGTGCACTGAAAATAGAGCTCCCCCGCTGTCATCATGGGCGGCGACACTCTGCACGCACAATTCTACCTTGAGGAGAGCCCGAGCAGCTTTGTCCTGAAAGCTGCAAACGGATCCCCATCACAGGCGCTGATTGTGGATAGGAAGACTGGAGATGTGTCAACAAAGAGTGAGTTTCTACGGGCAATTTCCTTCTGCAGCGTGACGATCTAATGAGGGACGCTTACGTTTGAAGACACCCAATCAAACCATGAAGCTCATCAGCTCAGCTCATGCCTCAATCGAGTGCCTTCTTCAGCCTAGCTTTGATTCACACTCTGAGTGTTACTGCCAATTGTAACGCTTGATTGCAGGTGTACCTGCTGAGCCTCTGCAGGGAGAGAAGGTGTATGGTGTCGTTGGCATGATCAAGTTGATTGCAGGTCAGTCCCCCAATGCATCTCATGACACCAAGTAACTATAAAAAGCTGATCAACCTCATTTTAAGTGCAATCCAAGGTGCATGCCCTTATTGGTCTTTCTGACTCGTAGTATCTTAAGAGTCCAAGGAAACCTCGGCTTGAGATTTGCTGGCCTTCACCACCACTTGTAGACCTCCGCACTCTGCAATGTCAACAAGGGATAGTTGCTTGTCTGCAGGAACGTACGTTATTGTGATCACAAACAGGGAGCTTGTTGCAACACTGCGCGGGCAGCCGGTGTACCAAATCACAGGCACACGGATCCTGCAGTGCTCTTCTTCCAGCGATCAGCTGTCCTCTTCACAAGTGAGTGACCATTCCAGAGCATTCCTCGGTTTGAATAGTGCATAGTCACTGATTCAATCCATTTTTCAGCTTGGAAAACTTTGCATGTTCAGTAAAGGCAGCTCAATCTATAAGCTTAGCTTCTTGTATTGGAGTTGATAGGCAGCTTATGCCAAAGTCCTCTGTGTCCAGAAACACGACGAAGAAGTCTACTTGACTCTGCTCCGACACGCTTTGGCGGCGCCAGGCCTGTACTTTTCGCCCCAGGGAGATATCACACTAAAGTAAGACAGTACGCCTTGCATGCTGGCCTATGCGCAGCCAGTTTCCTTGACTGATTCATTCCGAAATGCAATGTTGCCCTCATGAGGCCTGTGGCGCATTACTGGTCTGAAGCTGCTGTGGATTTTGCCGGGTGATTGAAGCAAGTGTAAGAGTAGTCCTCTTATCTGACCTGGATCTTTTGGCTGTTGCTGCAGCCAACAGAGCTTTGCCACGCTTGACAAGGAAGACCTCGCAAAGCCGGAGTATGAGCGAGTGAGATCCTTTGGCTGGTCCTTACGGTCAATATTACCAGTATATTTTATGTTTCCTGTTCCAGTAACATGTTTGTTCACCCTCTTTGCGGGCTTAACCGTCTTGCAAATACTTGCTAAAACAAATATTGGATCGGAAGGTGAAAGCTCATGCTTTGTCAATAACTTTGTCAGTGAACATTCGCACTGGAGTTGAGGAAGAGTTCCGATTCCTTGGCCGAACGAGTGAGTTTGATATGAAAGAGTTCTTGCCTGAATACGAAAGCTCTGGATAGGCTTCAAAAAAACATTTCACACCGTCAGTACAACCTGTTGCTTTTGCATGAACATTTGAAGTGCAGGATGTCTTTTGGAAGGCCCTCTGAACAATGGGGTTCCTTGGAGACATCCGGAATTCATCCGGAATGCAAACGCAAACTTTTCTTCCGCGTCCGTACAGGCGGAGCCGCGCTTCTTCTGGAACCGCTACCTTGTCGAACCTCTCATCAAGAAACGGGTGAGTGCGGTTAACTGGACTTTCTTTCTTCTGCATTCCACGTGTGTTCTAACTCTCGCCGACGTCGTCCTATTTGTTTCGACTTGGCACCGGCAAGTCTTGCCAGATAAAGAAAGCAGATTGATCATGTCTGGGCGAGGTCTGCATAAACATATCACTGAGCGTAAATCCGGAAGACTAGGTTTGCCTGACGTTCCTGTTGCCGTCTTTTAAATCATGGATTTTCAACAATTCCACTGACTCCCCTTCTGCAGTTGGACCCGTTCATCATCCCCATCATGCAAGGTAGCGTGCAGACCCTGAAAGCGCAGGGCATCAAGAACAAGGCGCTCGATCTCACCCTGATAGCAAGGAGGAGCTCGGACCGGATTGGCACTCGCATGTGGAGGCGAGGGGCAGACAAGGCCGGGAACGTGGCCAACTTCGTGGAGACGGAGCAGCTCGTCTTGACTGCGAACCACGTTGCGTCATACATCCAGGTAGGCAGGGAGACGATGCTCCCAAAGCCGTCGTTTCGACTTAGTAGCAAAGATGCCGGTATGTTGTTAACCTCCCATTTTGGAGAGGAACCGACTGATTCCTTTGGCTCGACTTAGGGTCACATGCTTCGGCAAGGGACGAGTGAGTCAATGGAACCAGGCAACAATTCTCAAAGGGGACGGGTCTGCGAGTAAGAAAGAGTTGGGGTTGCTTGCAGCTTCAGCCAGGGCATCTAGAAGCTGTGAGATTGCGGCACGTTGTTATCGATCAAAACGGATATAATTAGGCGAAGTTGTAGGAATTGCATCTTCAACGGGTTTTCCGACGTCCTGAGGTTCCCGCACGTTTTGTTGTTTGCCAAGACATCATTGAGGGTGAAGCTGATCCAGCGTCTCTGATTTTTTGATGCAGGTCCGGGGCTCAATCCCTATCTTCTGGGACCAGGTGGTGGACCTGAAATGGAAGCCGAAGATCAGAACGGTGGAGACCAGTACCAGCGTAAGTTACCTATCTTCTATACAGATCCTGTGTTTCCACTTTTGCGAGCTCTCACTGAGCCGAGGAGTTGCCCTACTATTTGCAAGTCAGGCCCGGTCACTTTCGGTCGCTGACATGATTCTGACTCTGATTGCAGACCTGAGGGCACTTCGCGATTCGATGAAAGCCCGGCTTAGTCTGGCAATTGGCCGATCAAACAAAGTCAAGGAAGCTATTATTTAATCATATCGTCGGCACCGGCGAACTTGCTTTGCGAGGTCTTTTACCTTCGCTCTGTTTCCGCATCTAAAGTGGAGATACTTACGTAAACTTGAAGCAGGAGTTCGAAACTGCTCATGTCTAGTATCTTCCAGAGGACCACAGGCCTTTTTCGAACCTGGTCACACACTCAGCTTACATATCGTCCTATTACCATATGTAATACCGGCAAGTCGGCTGACTTTTTGTACCTCTTGTTTCAGATGTCTGTCGCCAAGCAGCACTTCGAGAAGTTGAGCAAGGCGTACGGCGGCATCGTGGCCGTTGATCTGGTCAACCAGGCAAGTTTCCAAACCCGACTCCGCTGGTCTAAAACATGCGCTGCTTTCAACCAATCTCCAAGCACGGGTTTCCGAAGAACAACGTGCCACCTGTTCGCGTGAGTATGGTTGATACCAAAGGGGCCTACTCCGAACTTACTTTTCGGCGCCTAAAAGGTGCCAGATTGGCCCCATTGTCGCAACAAGTTTGCCTACGTGGTCTCAATACTGGCGACCAGTAACGTGCGCAGCGGGCTTTGTAGTTGCTGAACGTCATACATCAAAGAATTCTTACGTTGATTGATAAGTAGCCTGTGGAGCTTGGGACGTCGGGAACAGTGGTCGCCTTTCTACCCGATTATACGTTTCAATCAGCGTAAAAGTCGCGATGCCGTGCAATCAGATCGTTTGTCAACTTTTGGGTAACCCCACCTTCTTCGTTTGCAGAAAGGCGGGGAGGCGGTTCTCGGTTCTGCCTACAAGAAGGAGATGGCGGTCATCAGCGAAACAAATGCTGCCGTCTCGTGAGTGCAAATTTTTGGAAGCTCCGTGTTGGAGCGAGAAACCCCTGAGAAGTTCTGCTTGTCTCTTAGCTGGCTCCCGCCCTTCTTTGTCTTCATGGATGACTCGGCTCCCTAGCTTCTTATATTGCAAGAAAGGGGCCTGTTGAGCTTTTTCGAAGGCCACCCTAGCCGGCTGGCGTTAAGGTTGTAGCCAATTTCCAGTCTCGTTCTTGAAGCTTTTCCAAATTTCGTCACGAGCAGATTCTCACGAGTTGTGACATTTTGATTGGTTTACAGACTTAAGAGGCGGATCGTCTTAGTTTGAGAGGCTTCTGTGGGCCGTCCTGAGTCTCGAAGCAGCTTAAGTCGGTCCAATATAGGTCCGCAATATTTTCCTTGGCCGGCTCTCTTGTGTGCTTCAGTACTTTCAATGTAGGCATAGCCCGACGGGAAGGTACTGAACTTTACATTCTAAACTCAATGAGTTTGGATTCTTCTTGCAGGTATTGGCCGTTTGACTTCCACAAGGAGTGCGGCCGCATGCACTTTGAGAAGGTCAACATTCTGTGGGCCAAGATCCGGGACGCCGTCGAGGGCGAGCACAAGTGAGTTGGACGGATGAAGAGGCCCTGCTCTGCGAGAGACCAGCTTCTCAGCGTTAGACGTTTGCATGATTTGTGGGGGGGATTCCGACGCTGGAGGGCTGAACAGGGCCTGCTCTGTGAAGGCCTAGCTTCTTACCTGGTCATTTGTAAGTTTTGTAAGATCCCCGGTAGTCCAACGTGGAAAGAGTCCTCTTATTCCAACGTGGAACAACGAAAGCACGTCACTTCGAAATCGACCCTCTGTAGCAAAAGCCACTGCTTTTTACCCTATCCAAGGACAACAGTTGCTCAATGTTCTGATTGCCAGGTTTTTTTTGCGACATTTGCATGCAGCAGATTATTGAGCCAACATCAGATCGTGCATCCGTGTGCCCGTCACCTCTATCCTCTTGGTGAAGTTGCCATTTACCTAGCGCAGTGCGTACTTCAATGCAAAGTCGTTCAATCGGAACGAAGATTGACAGCGCGGCTTGCAATTGCAGGTACTTCCTGGCCCGCGACAACGGCGAGGTGCTCCAGCTGCAGAAGGGCGTCGTCAGGACCAACTGCATCGACTGCCTGGACAGAACCAACGTGTTCCAGGTAAGCAAGTCTGATACCACTGCTGATTTGCGCCGGGCCTGAGGCGAATAGTGGCTGAGAGTTTCTCACCAGTGGGTGACAGCCTGTTATGCGTCGCTAGAGTTGACGGTTGTCATTCGCCTTTACAAGTCAGCTTCTCGGATTGTAGGAGTATCAATTCGTCTGTTGCCAGTCCGTATTAAAATACAGTTATTTTATAGGAACGCGCTTGTAAGTGATAGCATTCCATACTCTGTTGTGTGTCTCTTTGCGGCGAGCTTTCGTCGAGCTGGGTCCTAACAATGACCACAAAGGCCGTTAATGCCATTAGCTGCGGGGCTGCGAGCCAGCCTCTGACGGTATCCATGTCACGTGCACCTCAGATTGCTTAGAACACTCACACCTCTTAATACTCAAACTCCAGGATCCGATTCGCCGGCACTAGCTGGGCAAAGCCGTTTTGCTTCTTCTTTTTCAAAAATTCGATTTTGTTGCACAGAGCGTCCTGGCTAGGAAGGCGTTGGAAGCGCAGCTGTTCCGACTGGGCGTCTTCAGCGAGAGCGAGATCGTGGCGGCTCATCCCACGTTTGACGTGCAGTACAAGATCCGTGAGTGATGACTGTTGAGCACCCTTGTCGATCTCGTCGCTGCTGTCGCTGTTTGCCTTCTCGTCATGGCTTCTGTTAGTTACATGCGTGTCGTACGTCTTAGCTTGTCTGGCGGATGGTGTTTCGAGTCACTCTGGAAAAACCACTCCGGACGTCCGCTCAGAGCCGGCCGTATTACATTTGGCTCGCTCATTCACGGCTACCAGAAGGGGAGACGCAGAACATACTCGTTTCTTTGTAAGGTCTCTCATAAGCAAGAGTGCGAGACCCTTACCATGTGCCGGCGAACGTTTGCTCGTCGAAGTTGTCTGTTTTCGGGAGCTTTACGGCCCCAAATGTCTGCGCTCCTAAGTGCTCCTAAATTTCGTGTGGCGGACATCTACCGCCCAGGTATGATCATCCTGTAGTCTCCTTGTATCGCCTGATTTGATATGCGCTTTCTCATGATTTCGCACATCCGTACATCTGATCTGTTTCTTTATCTTATGATGCAGTTTGGGCAGACCATGGGGATGCAATCAGCCTGCAGTACGCCGGGACAGGCGCCTTGAAGGGCGACTTCGTGAGGTAAGATTGCTTCCGTGCTGATTAGGTGACAGCGGTTGCTAGGGTTCAATCAGCTGGGAAGGTAGCAGTCCTAGCATTTCAACAGGGGAACGCTTCATGCTAACAGACGCACTTGAAGAACCGCGCAAAAGACGAACGAAGCGCAGAAACGGAGCAGCAAAGATTCAAAGAGGTCGGATGTTCTTCGTCTCACAAGCCCTCTTAGGGTCTATGCATCGTATCATTTTGCCGCCATCCATTCCTGTCGGGTTGGCAGAAACGTAAGCATCCGCATTTTGAGTGCAGGTACGGAACCCGTAGCTTCCGGGGGCTGCTCCAGGACGGTGTGAATGCGCTCACGCGGTACTACTACAACAACTTCACTGACGGCCACCGACAGGTACGGTCACATCGTCAGAACCACATTCTAACCAGCGTTCTGGAATTTACTGCTTTGCTGGCGGCGTTCAGAGCTGAAAAGGCGTCAAGCTTACAACAAAGTCTGCGTATCATCCTGTTTTTGCTAGACACATGACAGACGAAGAAGACTTGGTCCGAATCAAATACTCGTTGAGCCTTTCGTGCGGCAGTCAAGATTTGTTCCAATTCTCTCCTACCTCTAATCTGGTATCGTTCTTGTACTCCTGTTGATTTAGGCAGAATGTCTCTGCGATCTGGTTTTCCCCCACTTCCTCTTTAAGTTCGTGACCTCTTGTCTCAACAGGACGCCTTGGACCTGGTGACTGGGCACTACACCGTGACGGACGACTCCCCTCCTCTGAGAGGCGGAAACTTGACAGTGGTAAGCGCTCCCACACACGCCGAACGTCGCTTTGGTCGTACTTCATGTCCGACAATGGGAATTCAGCTTGATAGGCAGCCCCTCTGGTGCTGGACGGTGCTGGACGTATCGCGGGAGTAACTCTTGAGCTCCATTATTGGCTTCACGCTGTCCATGTCTGTTGAATGCTTGGTCATACATTCCTGGCCCCTCTTGTAGCCGACTACACCCTACATATCTTCCTTAAAAACCTTTGAGAAACTTTTGAACCTCAGTTTGTGGAACTTTTCCCTCCCTGCAGTGGACGCCCCTCGTGCTGACGGGCCTCATCGCGACCGCAACTCTGGCCATCTGGAATGCCACACGAGGTACGTCTTAAGCTCTTTCGACCGGTCATGAGCTCCTGTGAGCCGTTGTGAATTCTCGTGAGCGAGACGTTCTGCCGAGCGCTCATTGTGCATTCACTTCATGATTTGGTTTCAGACTCCGTTTGTGTTGGAGCTCACTCTCAACCAGACTCTCGTCCATTCCATTGATATTTGTCTTCTTTGATCTCAATCATGAGAAATACAAGCACCGATTGCCTCTGGCACACAGCGAAGTTGGAAGGACGTTGGCAAAAGTCTTTGCGAAACAAGCTTCCGGGTGTTTTTGGTCGGAGAAAACCAGGGAATCCTCCTGACTTTGCCGCTTTGATTGGTGCAGGCATCACAAACTTGAACGTGCAGTACTTTGCTTGGGCCTTCTTGTACATTGGTTTCGCATATTTCACCTTCTCCTTCATCAAGAGGCACGGCCAACAGCTGTGCGACCGACCCCGGCTTTGCAACCTCAGATGATTCGACTGAAACTTTTGGCAGGAGAGTGCTGCCTATCAACCATACATACATTCAAGAAAGGAAACGGTTAAATAGAAGAGAGGACTTTTTTTGGTAAACACCTTTTCTGACATTCAACACAATGTTGGCAACATGCAACGTGGATGCTGCGACGTGTACCGGTACCGATGTGTAATCAATGCGTACATTGATGGCGGCTAGTGACCTGGCCGAAATGGGTTGCGCGTGCCGAGCTGAGTGCATGTCTGATGGCGGCGCATATCTGCATAACCTTATTTTGCCCGCAGAATTCGGCTTTACAGGCATGAAATTCACTATGAACTTTAGCTTGCAACTCAGTGCATGACGGATCGCCGGGCTGAATCTAGTACGCACGAGCTTTGAGGTTCAACAATCCACCACCCGCGGTATAAATACTCCTGGGTGTCAGGATTGCCAAAGTCAAGTTTCGGAACTTGAAATTTCGCGATGGCGCATGTATACGAGAAATGCCAGAACACCCTCAAAATGAGTCATTTTGCATCGTTTCGAACGGCGGTTTCGATCTGACCATTCTTGGATGACTGTACCTGAGCTATGCGAAGTGAAATCGCCGAAAAAGATGAAGAAATGCGTCTGTTTTGCCCTCGCATAAGGTCAATTTTGATGGAATTCAGATCGTGCGCCCTCGACCGAAATTCGTATTCCGGTGACCGTTGGCGAGACTCCCGACCACTTCGGCCGATTAAATACCGCGGGTGGTGGTTTAATGATGTTGACGTATGCGGGGCACCAAGGTATGTATAAAGTGGGCGGCCGGCCGCGGGCTGCCCGCGCATATGCCGCGGGCAGAGCCTAAGCGTATTCTGGGACCATGCTTGGCAGCTAGCGATCCGTACCGTCGATTGCCGTCATATCGACGGTTTCAAATTCCTGGCATACGTCGTTGCGCGCGTTTCTTACGCAGGTTAGCCGGCATGAACCAAACAGATAGATTCTGCTGCACCACACCGTGATCCATCAATAAATTTTCTGTGCTCACGAGGGCATGGCAGATCATGTCCAGCTAGCTCGCCTCTTTCCTGCAAGATTGGTCGCAAGGGAGCCAGACGGTACATACTACCGTACTCCGCTGGCACCTAACGGGTCTTCTACACAATGCAAGCAGCTTGAATTGATTGCTGAGCAACCAGCTCAACTACTGACAGCAACATTCTGGATAGGCTCCTGTGGCGCAAGTGGTTTCAAAGCAAAACGAAATAAAGAGGGTGGCAGCACAGGAGCTTCACTGCAGCTCTGCTTTTTACAGCTGACGTCCACTTTGTTGTGGCTGACACCTGCCGGCGTGTCAGAGACTCGCTTAGCTTTTTCCTCGCCCCAGCTTCCAAATATTTTCCTGAGCTAACGATTCAGCTCATTACGTCCAAAAGTGACCATGGTGCTCACCAGATCAGGGCGGGAAGTTCAGAGGCGTCTCAGTTCGTCCTCTGCTTCTGAGGCAACCAAGGCAAGCAAGAAGGGGAAGGCGTCGAAAAAGAGCAAGAACGTCGAAACGGTGAGCTCGAGGTCCTGCAGTCTCCCAAATCTCGCTATTCAAGAAATGCTGACGAAAGAAGATTACCAGTACAATCTGCCACGGAGGATTTTCGTCACGTGTCCCGCCTCTGCAATGGGCAAAAGCCCAATCTACGATTTCCTCAGAGTATTGTTGCACAGCCCATGAGCTCTTTGTCACGTCGTCATTACTGGTAAAACTTGTTATAACTGAGCAAGGTGACCTGATTTTAGGCCTCAAGCTACCTTTTGCATTTTGTGCTGTGCGAGCAGTCCAGTCTGGGTCCCCAGCAAACGTGCAGCTATGATGCGCAGCTTGCTACGAAAGACGCTGGCAATCATGTTGCTATTATATCCAAATGGCCAGTCGTTTAGTCTGTTCTTCATCAGAAGCATAAGCCATTTATGGTCCCTGCTTTTGTAAGCCAGCTCCATGCGACACCGGCTAGCTCACATTCCCCTCCTTACTCTCCACGGCAGCAACTTCAAAGGCCCCCACTAGCAAATACTCATCTCTCTTTACTGCCTATGAAAAGGTCTCTAGTGCCTGAACTTTTTGTGCTTTGTAGCCCCAAGAGCTCCTACGAACCGCCCCAAAAGGGCTGATCGACTCCCAGTCCAATCATGCAAAGGCAGCTGAATGCTCGAGTTCCGATCCACAGCCTCAGCATCTTCTCTCAACTTCTTTACAGAGCCCTTCCGATGTTGCCCCAAGCGTCCCGGTGGAAGCTGCGCCCCGCTCCTGGTTCATGAGGATGCTCCTCTACCCGCTGACTCCCCTCACTGTCATTTGGACCCTTTCTGGAATCTTCATGTGTACTACTGGAGTCGTGTATCCAGATTCGCACCCGGTCTTAGGGCCCAAGGGAAAACTGTTTCAGTACGTTCGGCGGGCGTTTGGGATCCTTCTTTTAATAGCCACAGGGGTAATGTATGGATATGTGCAGTATCAGAAAGACCAGCACAGGAAACTGGGGCAAAGGCAAGGAGGGAACGCGACACAAGGTTGAAGAGTGGAGAGAAACGTGATAGGGTCACGATAGGAGCCTTTACCGAACGGGTCAGACCGTCACCTAGTGGGCAGAATGTAGTGAAATATTCTTGTTTGCGGTTGCCCAGTCTTCAGAAGCCACTTTTTCGACAAATGTTGACACTTCCATGATCGTATCGATAGCAACCCTTGTCGGCAGACGACTTAAGCTGGACTATAGCAGTGCAGCAGACTGTGAAGCCGCGAAGCAGACGGTTTGTAAGAATCTGAAAGAACCTGATGATGAATCCCTGACTTCCAGAACAATTCATTGAATTGCCTGTCGCTGTCATGTAGTTGGTAATATGCGCGTTTCAGTAGTTCGTAAGTCTGTGGTGGATTATTCGTATACGTACATATATATACGCTTTTCATCAATCTGCAAGTCAGCCATGGATTTGAGCCGTATATATGCATGGACGAAAAGTCCGAGACTTCACAACAAACATCAATCAATGCGTTTCATCGCGCGGCGGCTGGCACTGGCCGGCGGTTATCAATCCTCGATCGAATCCATTATAATCAATACAGCTGCATGGGCGACCATGCAACAGTACCGTACGTAGCCGGCCGGTACAATATACAGCACGAGGAATCTAAGTTTCAGCTGGCCGACCGTCACTTCCACAGTGTACACTTCAACAAGCCGCTTCCAAGCCGCTCACTTAAACACAAGGCCGGCCTTCCAAATCATGCGCAAGTGAGTGAGTTCCTGTGATTAACACTATTTGGAAGCATGCACACTGAGATCGTTGAAAGAAGCGGGATCTGCAACGTGTACCTTGAGCTTAGTATAAGTAAGCATACAAATGCTTTGTCTTTTCTCACAACTCCTTCCACGCATATAGCAGGGAACGGAAGTGTTGTTTTCAGAGCCATGGCCGCGTGCTTTGACTTGAAGCAGCTTTCATTTGGGGTGGTCCGACGGCGTCCTTGTCGGTCACAAGCCGGATCGGGCGAACTTACAACCCCCGTTACCCAACAATAGTCAACTGGTCAACTAACGTACAGCGGTCACTTCGGCTTCCTGCCCACTCTCGACCACAGCTTAAACACAACCTCTTGCTCCTCCCCACCCGCTACCCACGCCGCTTCGAGCTCCCTTAAAAGCTCTTTTCCGGTCGGCATTTCCGCTAACCGCTTTGCATAGCTCGTACTCTCCATAAACCCAACAACGTTCTCAAACCGCCACACGAACCGCATGTGGGTCAACCGGGGTTCCGTTTCCGTCCGCCCCTCGACCGGCTCGAACGGAAAGTGCATGTTCTTATACCCATCTAGCGGATTACACTCGCGCTTCGCAGCCTCTAATCGGTAATTAGGACCTGCCATAGCGACCAGGATTGCTTCCATTGCCACGTCAAGCCGGGGCGTCGCAAACGCCGGCATGTTGTACGTGAAGGGCGCATAAACCCCGAGGGGTTTAAGTGCGGCGAGCGCCTGTTGGGTCATTTTGTGGACGTCGAAAAAGTGGAGCGCGGAGGCGACGGTGATCAGATCGACGGTGGCGAGGCCGCCGAGGACCTGCAAAGCGACGGCTGAGGTTCATCTGCAAGGAGTTATGATTGTGTTTGCACCTGTGTTAAGCAGATAAGTGAATATGCGGTCAGGTGTCGAGAGAGAATGGTCAGAAGCAAGCATCCGTTCAGAACCGGAGGAGAGAACGTGGTTCGTGTTGCAGGTGATTGGTAGCTGGATTGTGAGTGAGGTCGTTGATAACGGAAAATCGATTTGCGTAAACGCCGAGGCTAACTCAACAATCAATCGTTGCCCTGACGATATGCGCAGCCGTGGTTCGAGGTGGGTCCTGAAGACTGGTGCCTCAGAATGAGAGTTCTCTGCTTCGCTGCCATTCAGAAAGTTCTCATGAAAGAATGCTAGCAACCGAAGCTCTCGGTTCGAGCACGCTCCCGGAAAAATGCTCGCAACGGCCGCGGACTTCGGACGTCCAAAGAGAATCATAGAGAAGCAGACCGGACATGAGGGGATCAGAACACCATTTCTCACAATCAATCGAGTCTAGGCGACCCAAGAGCCGCGCTTTCTGGAGACGTGGAACGCCTACAGCAGGGGAGCTTGAGCGAAAATTGAATTTTCAAAATTCGACGCCATGATCTCTCATCATCTTCAAGGTTTGTTCCTACGTCATTTAAGTCTCTGCTCAGTAAAAGTAAAGCCACCTTCGAGATTCCGGATAACACTGCTGAACCACGGGCAATAAGTCGATTGCGTCTGCAACGCGCACCTCAGCCAGCTCCTCCGTGCCCATCTCCGCTGATGTCACTATGTACGTCACGTTGGAGACACGTGGCGCCTGCGCCAGCTGCCAGGGGCTGACGTCAGTGGCCACCACTCGGTCGAAATGCGGCGCGAGTCCGACGGCGGCCTGGCCGCTCCCCGTGCCCACGTCCCACAGCAACTCGCGAGCCGGTGCTAATTTCGCCAAGCCTCTGCGAACGTTTGATAGTAAAGAAGGTTTGGTATCGCCTTCTTCGAAAGCTCACACTTTTGGACGCACTGTTTGAGAAATGGAAGTTCAATCATCCAGGGGGACGTCGGATGGCTCAGGTTCTGCGGGGCCCCGAATGAAAGGCGAAGGAAGCGGCAAGATTTGGAGTCACCTTTAGAAGAAGGAATGCGATCGGGTCTGACATTGAGAGGTACGCAGAAACCCTCTGAGGAAACCCAAATCCACTCTCCTGTGCAAGACTCTGAAAAGCAACGATGGACACACTGATTCAACAAAAGCGAGCGTTGCTGCTTACCGGGAGCACTACTTCTACAATGTTTCGGTTCTTCCAATCACACAGTAGTTTGAATCACGCATTGCGGTGAATAGTAGAATGGATGACACGTGAATTGGATAACGTTGCTGTTTCTCTGGCACGACTATTAGGCGTGTGTTTTATGCCGCATGATGCCTGCCTTGTCCATGAAGTCTCAACTTGCCAAGCTCTTTCAGACTGAAGGACTCTTCCTGGCAACTACACAGGCAAGAATGGGCAGACATATTGCAGAAGAGTACTGGGCTGAAGCTGAGCTGCTGCACTCTAATGAGATTCGCAGTACAGGCAGTATTCAGACGACAGGTCTAAAGTGTCAAACGAGCTTCATACTCTTTGATCTCAATAAGAGGAGTAACTTCCAAACATATCAACAATTGGCATATGGAGCACTTCCAGAACCTGTATCACATATAGACAAGGAATCTCAAGGGCAAGTTGTTTCTCAAAGCACTCTAGTTAGACATCTTTCTTGACGAGGGGGGCAAGAAAAAGAACTGCTGGTGAACACTCACTGCAAGAAAGTCGCTGGATACGTCGGCCGCCATTTGATGTAAGCGGCTGCCTGTTCCTTGTAGAGGTCTGACTTCTGTTCAGCATTTGCTTGTCCTGGATATGTAGAGCCAGCGTTGCCTACATTGTACGCTAAAACAACGAATCTTAGAATCGAGTATTGACAATCTGAGGGAGTATCTTGTGATCAATACAAGAGAAGGTAGGCCTTCAGCTCAAGAGGTGTGCGAACAGCATGTGGTAAGAGTGGGGGATGGGTAAGCAGGCAATGACAAGTCGTCGTTGTTTCCTGTTTGCTTGGGCTTGGAGAGGTTTGCTTCCGCTAAGCCATGAGGCAGACGCGTGGAGACTTATATAGCTTTAGGAAATAGAGTTCAAGCCCCGAAGCTTCCGTTGGCGTCGAAACATTCTTTCGCCCCCAAAAACAGACATTACCGACGTAAAAAGCAAGGGTACATGGATTCTTTGACCTGCAAGGGTTTGGAGGCAGGCTCCGTGCTGCTTCAAAAGGGGATTGAAGTTCACCTCCTCCAGAAGACGCCAGGGTTCTTTGCATATGTGTATGCTTTGCCCCACTTTGCCAGCTGCCAAAGCCTTTAGATCTCTTCCTCAGCACCTCAGTTTCCCTCTCACGGCCAACATGAAAAGTGCTGCCGGAAAAGGCCAATGTTGTCCCCTGACAATGCTGCTTACAAGTCAGCATTGCTGACCGCTTCCGCAAGCTGACCCTCTGCACCTGCAGTGCTCAGACTGGCACCCTCTCAGAGCTGGCCCACACAAGACGGCTGCCACTCGATGCCCCTCCACTGCTTACTAAGCAGGGCGAGGCAGCAACCGCTCTCTGTTCCTGTGCAGCACTTCTTCCAAAAACCAAATCAGCAGTAAAAGATCCTTCATTGAGAGGGCCGAATATCAAGCTGTACTGCATGCTGCATATGACCTGCTGGAAGTCCTTATGGAGCTGATCCATTCCTCGCCTGAAACAACACCTGCGCGTTGCGACTATTGCAACATCTCAAACTGTAACCTAGCTTAGGACTTTAAATTTTTGTGATGGACGCCCCTTCATCCTCTCCATGATTCTTTTTGCCAGGATGTTCGTCTACGCCCATTTGGGGTCCCATTTGGGGGATCCCCATGCAATTGCAAAGCATGCACACAGAAACAGTTTCTCTCGTGATCGAGCTAGCCGGTTTTGGGAACCGGTATCCGGCCGTAGGCGTGAGGGTGCTCAAAATAGGGTTTGCCCAAGGCTTGGTATGGTCACAACTCGAAGAACGGCACGCCGCACGAAACGGGTTTTGCCGCTCTGCGGTTCAAATCATGACAAATGTCCAACTTTTGCCATGAATTGGAAGACGAGCAGTGGTAGGTAGCTGTAGCCTTTTAATGTTAGGCTGTAGGCTGAAGCTGCGATGACATGTTGCATTGCTGCACATGAACAACGGGGAGAATCTCCGTTCCTTTCCTATCTACGAAACTGAAAGCTGCTGAAGCTGATTTGAGGGTCCGCTCGCAGGATTAACGCTGCTGCAACACAGAAGAGACTGTGTGTTCCATGGTTTGCATTTCGCAGAGATTGAGCGTTGGGGAGGTAAACCCGATCACCTGGATACGACCAGCGCTGTAGGTGGCACACCCTTTCAGAAGCTTTACTGCTAACTTCGAATGGCGGCTACTTGATACAAACTCCGTCTATGCAGGAGTAAGGGCCCGCTTGCAGATTATCACTCCCCCTGTACATCAAATTGGAAACACAGTCACATCATGTAGTCAAAGACCTGCTTTGCAAAGGAAGCGGTGACCGCTGAACCCCCTGTAAGACTTTGAATGGACCTCTCTGAGATTGAGTGGGTCGATGACAAGGAGTGGGCGGCACTGGAACAGGCCATGGCTGCTGCCGTCCAGCAACGTGATGCTCATCGGCGCAATGGGGTGGTCAAATCTCACTTTGACAACGCAAAGGCTGTTTGCCAACCGTCCCGCCTGGAACCAGTCAAAACTCCAGAGAGGAGTAAGCTTGAAGCACAAGGGAAAGATTTGCAAACAGGAGAGACATCTGATTCCAGGAATACTGCTAGTGGGACAAGCTTTCAGGCAACCGAAGCTCCGCGCAGCGGTGGTGTAGCGGACCACTCTTTGGGGTCAAGTCAGCACGAGTGGCCTGAAGCGATGTCGCTCTCAGAGTGGGTGCCCTCCCAACGGGGCTTCCCTGGCTTCTGGCCTGATCACGCGACAGCTGGCGCTATGGGTGCGACAGCTGGCGAGCGCTGTGTGACGGCCGCCGAGAACCGTGCGACAGCTGAGGAAGGCTATGTGAAAACTGGCAAGGATTGTGCAACAGTTGGCGTGGCACAAGTACAGAAATGGACGGGAGGTGGACTGGGTGATGCATCGCAAGAGCCGGTCGGCCTTGCCTCGTCTGGGCGGCGAGACGGGCCCAAGAGTGGAGCGACGCCATTGGCGGCAAGTGCATTCACAGTGCCCCGCCCTGTTGCTGCAATCAATTCCTCTGGAATAGCAGCGCCAGTCCCTGAGAGCAATTCAAGTGCCCAGCCTCTTCCCCAAATCTGCCCAGATCCCGATTCACTTCCAGATCTTCCGAAAACCATCGGAGACCAAACCCTTCCAAAGTGCGGCCAGGACGATGGTCTCAGCGTCCGCCAGCTGCCCGCCTGGCTGACATCAGCAAGGACGGCGGGGCCCCCCCAGGAGTGCACGCTACCGATCATGCGGTTCGGGGGAAGGATTGTGTATGCGGTCAGTCCCCAGGAAGTGGAATGCTCCGCTCGGACGTTGCTGGAGGACTTGAGGGGGGGCGATGCGTGCCTGGGGTTCGACATTGAGTGGAAGGTGACGTTCAGGAGAGGTGAGGAGTTTCTGCTGTCAAAGCACACTGGCTCTACAACAAAAAGGGGTTTGGCCACCTGGAAAGGGGGTGACAAGACGTTTGATTGAGTCAAGAGACTTGGCAGAAAGTGGTCTGTCTTACAGCCAAGATGGCTCCACTAAGGGCACGAAACTTTACTAAACCTCTGGGCCGCACAAGAATATCGGTAAACAAGCAGGTTTGCTGTCTGCCAGGATTGTGGAAAGGCCAGTGAAGATGGTTACGAGACCTGAATTATGATCAAAACCAGGCCCCTCCTCTTGTGATCACTTCTTGTCGACATTATTTATTGGTGGTTGTCCGTTGAGCCTGCAGTTGCTGAAGCGAAGTGAGAGGTTCCGTCTTTCTTCAGCGTCATCTTTGTGTAGCAATTCAGCATAACGCTCCAAAGCCTCTGCGTATTCCAACTTGAAAGGGCAGAACCCTGATTATAAAACTGTTTTATGTTTTGTGGTTTATAATCAGGGTTCCATCTTGTCTTTCTTCCAGGCGAGACCCCTCAGAAGGCTGCGCTGATCCAGCTGTGCCCCAGCGGGGCCTGCTGCTACCTCTTCCACATCGCGCATTCTGGGCTGACGTCATCCCTGCGGGCCTTGCTTGACGAGCAAAGCGTTGGGAAGGTGAGATCGCAGCCCTCGTTCAGACTTTCCTGCGTTCCCTTGTTGCACTCTTTCAATCCGTTGTGGGAGTGTGTTTTGGCGAGTGTTTTTCCTACTTCAGCAGGATCTGAAAGCGTACAGGTCTGCTCAATCAACATCCTCAAAGAAGCTTAGAACTTTTGCGCGACTCCCAAAGAAGTCCGTCGCTTGAATCTTCCAGAGTTTCCGTGCTTCTTCCGTCTGTCTCCTGGAGCTCTCTACCGCCCGTGCTCAAGTCGTCTTGTTGGATTCAGACTGTTGCAATGATGGTTCGGATTTGTAGCTTCACGTCTGCTTTCAGACTCGTTCTCCTGTTGGTTGTTGCCTGTTCCTTCGCACCCCTATCGTCGAACTTCTTGGAGAAACAGGTTCTGCTTCGAAAATGGTCCGTTGGCAGCATAAGTGGTCGGGCAAGCGGCTAGTATTTCCTAACGATGCCCCGCCTCTTGGAAAAAGAAGTCGTCAAACAAACTTTTCGAAAGTTCCACCCCTGACAACAGAATTAGACACTCCCAACACTCCGCCCCTTACCTGAAGGAATCTCTTTTGCGTTCCGCTTCACTCAGTCCTGAAATGATGAGTTTATTCATTTTGATCGATCTCGTGAAGCAACTTGTATTGATGTTGACGGAGCTGCCGTTTTGTTGTTCTGTGTACAGTACTTCTTTATTCCACCGGGAGACGATTCGGACGGTTTCCGCTTTTTCTTCACTCCGTGCAGGCTGGCGCCGGCATTTACGGAGACGCCCAGAAGCTGCGCCGAGACTTTGGCGTCTCGATGGGGGGCCTGCGGGACCTGAGCGACTTGGCCAACGAGCGGCTGCAGCCGAAAGACGGCCCCAGGAAGTGGAGCCTTACGGCGCTCGCGCAAGAGGCGATGCTGCAGCAGGTGGGTGACAATAACCTCACCAGTGTTATCGCACCCGGTTTTCGCTTTCTTAGAGGTTTGGAGTTGCTGACTTCTGCGATTTCGCGGGACCTTCACCTCAAAAAAGGAGCCTAACGGCGCTTGCGCAGGAGTTGATGCTGCAGCAGGGAAAAAGGTTGCGTGAATCTCGTGATTTAACCAAAGGTTTGGTACCCGGGTTCCCCAACAGCTCCGGGCTTTTGGACGTGTGGAGTTCAGCGGATTGCAAGTCCCTACGGGTCTTGTGTGGCGTTGGTGCAAGAAGCGACGCTGCAGCAAACGGGTTCCGACAGCTCCGAAGCCCGGGTCTGCGTTTCTCGGCGTTCGAGTGGATTGAAGTTTGCGAACCTAGATTTCTAGATTTATTGTGGCACTTGCAGACTAGGCGATGCCGCAGCGGGCGGGACTTTGCAACCTAACCAACATTTTGAAACTTTCGTGAATCTGGTTTTGGAGTCTTTGAAATATTATAGCCGCCCTGATTGATGCACCCGAGAGCGCTTCGGTTAGCCGGTCCATCAGGTTTGGGTTTCCTTCCACCGAACGCAATCGCGACGTCTAAGCACGCTCTTTACCCGGCTTTCCCAACCGAGCGCAACTTGGAATGCCTCTCTCTCAACCTCGACCTAGTCAGAATCTGGTTCATTTCCGCTGGCGCAGCTCGAGAAGCCGCTCATTTGCCTGCGCTCCGAGTCTTCCAACCGAGAGCAGTCGAGAAGTGAAAAGTAGTTTTTCCAACAAGGCGCAAAGCGCAAGTTGGTAAAAGTCTTCAAGCTCGACTTTGCCTGGACCCGGTTGATCCCTCTCGGCGCAGGTCGAGAAGCCGCCCAAGCAGCGCATCAGCGACTGGGAGAGGCTCCCGCTCTCACCCGACCAGCGCCAATATGCGGCCACCGACGCGTATGCTTCACTTCGCCTCTACCAGGTAAGGGGCTCGCTCTTATCTGTCTGCGATTGCTTGGGAGGACGGTGTTGACATTTTTCGCGAAGACTCGACCGAGATGCGATTCGATCAAGTCGACGCTGGTTGTAAAAACGTAACGTGGTGCGCGGACGTTCAGTTGCGGCAGCCAAGCGCTTTTCTGCGAGGCTTCCATTACACGAAAAGCGCGCATTCTTACATGAAAGAGTGAAGAAAGAGTTGCTCATCAATGGCAGCCCATTTCTGGGGTCCCTTCAAGTTGCGGGGGATCCCTAACCTCTAACCTCTAACCTACCTTTGACCTTTTCATAGTCTCAATTGAAACGCCCGCTTTGCTCAGGTCCTCATGTCGCTGCCAGCCCCTCCTCCCCGGCCCATCCTCCGGCCACTTCCCCAGTCTGAGCTTAACTCTCTCGTTAACCCGGGGTTTAACCCGGGGCCTAACTCAGAGCTTAACCCGGGGGCAGAACCCACCTCGGAAGCATGGATCCCCGCAGTCCCCGAGCCGTCTTACCTTGCGCCGTCCAAAATGGACGTTCACAGGTTGCATTTGGACGGGTTAACGATCGAAGAGATTGCGGTTAAGAAGGGGGTAAGGGTAACCACGGTCGAGAGCTACTTGGTTGAAGCAACCCAGGCGGGGCTCGCGTACGCCTGGCATCGGCTCGGGGTTAGCGACGCTGTTAGGGAGCGGATTGAGCGCGCGGTCAAGGCGGAGTTAGAAGTAACTGAGGGCGGGGCTGAGGTAGAAAATCGGGTTGGGCAAGGTTTAGGCGAGAGCGGGTTAGTAGAGGACCCCGGGCAGCCAAACGAGGTTGAGGAGGGGTTAAATAGAAGTTTAGTAGGAGGGAACCCTGGGGCGCCGAGCGAAAGGGGTCGTGGAGTAAGTTCCCAGTTTGCTGGCATTGCCCAGCCGCTCCTTAAGGGCGCCGAAAGCTGTTCCGAAGACAGATGGGCTGGAGGGAGCTTTGATGGGCTCAGGATGACGTCAGCAGGGGACAAAAGCGCGGATTGCTTTGACAAGATAAGGTTGAAGGCGGTTATGGAGAGGATACCGCCCGAAGAGAGCGTGACCTTTCCGCAGGTTCGGTTGGTGGTGGCGCATATTGCGAGGCAGGCCGGCGCTAATATGAGGCGGCAAAAGCGGATGCGGTTGCTTGAGTCCTGTGAGCCTAATTAATCTAGTTGGTCTAGGATTCGGTGGAACTGGACGCTTTATGCGCATACAGTGTCCTTGATGATTGCGTAGTCGTTCTTCGAAATCTTGATTTGTGTATGCTTCCTTTGGCGGCGCAGGGCTATCTGGTTGCTTCAAACGATTGTAAGGGCCTCGATCACTGCTTCAATCCAGGATTCATATCTTGTCGTACTTTGGATTCAACAGATTAAGGGGGTTGGAAGCCTTAGGGTATTTGTCACCTAGATCGATCCTTCAACAATCAGTATGGACAACGACTTAAGTAATATCATCATGCATGCTCCGGGCGGTTAGCCTTGTTTGGCCCAAGATAAGGCAACTCGAAAATGGGAAAAGAATGGTTGTATACAGTGGCCCGAGTGTCTACAGGTTGACTAGTGCCCTATGAGACACTCTTCGCATGAATCCTTCTGCTTGCTGCAGTATATTGTGCTTTCCGATCCCGGCTAGCCTGCACTGCATGTGCAATATGCGCATGATCGTGCAATCCGTACGATGCTAGCTTGACTGACGCCGGGTGTTAAAGTAGCTCAATCGACCATGTTTAATGATTGAATGCTGATCGTTTTGCTTATATTTCGGTATGTGATTTGATACAGCTCGAGGGGCCTCCAAATACTCATATGCGCTCCTCAATTCAGTGCCCTCCGACATATAACCACCTCGAAAAAAGGGAATGCATGCATTGATCCATGCTCTCCAGCTGTCAAATATGCACTCAGCATGAAAACGAAGTACCTACCACCTCGAAATCATCTCACGAATTCTTGACTCTCATCACTGAAGGGTCCATGTCCGACTTCGCTTGCCGTCCATGCATAAGCTAGGTCTAGTCGCCCTCCACTTTATGTGATATAAGATTACCGCACTTTGTGGCTCTGTATAATATGCACCGTCTTCGAGAAGCATATGCTAACGGGATGCTAACATGCCGTTCTATTGCTTTGTGCACGCCAAGTCATCAGCTGCCCATTACTGTTATTGTACAACCCAACTTAGCTACCTAGAAGGCTGAAGGCTAGAAGGCATCCCTAGTAGGTAGTAGGTAGTAGCATTGCTCATGGCCGCCGCGATGCTTGCATGACAATTTTAGTTCAGTAGCATAGCCTTCGAAATCTCAGGCTAAGCACCCGTTGTACGTAACCCTAGATTACCCATGGGGTGATGCGGCCCCAACATTCGATGAACGTCATCAGCAGCCGTCGATTGCTGGAATCGACGGTTCGAGGTGCCCGCTGGGAGTTGGCCCTTCCAGTGAAGTACATGGGGTAATGCATGGCGGTTGCATTCGGCAAATGGGAACCGGGCTAGCCACGCGCGAAGCGCAGATACCAACAGATCTGCGCCCAAGATATTTCCAGCGGAAGCGGATCCTCTGCGGGATACGCAGAGAAGCCTTCACTTTACCGCCTTGGGAAAGCTGATACTTTCTATGACCGGAGAGGAATGGCGGTCAGAACGGAATTGGTGAAGAGCCAGAAAGCAGATTCTGAGGGGGCCACACATCGCCCCTGCCTTTCTTGCCGCCCCCAGGCCTTCCATAGACTGATTGTAGGAGTTGCAGAAAGGGCTCCATTGGCGGTTCTTGGACTTTTGCGGGAAGGATCCTTTGAGAAAGTTTTGGCAACGGGGTCGGCGGTAGGGTTGCGCTGTGGGGTCCCTTTGTCGCAGGAGGATTTGGCGGGATGGATGTGACACAAGCATCCCTCGGGCCCGTCTCTTCCTCATGGCTTGGTCTGTGCAGTCAACAAACCGTGGCGGCAGCTCAGAGAGCTTCCAGGGCTCTGTCTGGGCCTTGTCGCCTGCTTCCCATGCCTGCATGCGCTGGCCTAACGTACTCGGGTCAGATCTTGACAAGGCAGACTTCAAAGCTCTTTAGTCTAGTTGGGGTTGGGGAGGGTACCCAGTACAGTAGGGCTTCCTGCGCTCCCCGTTGCTTTCAGTCGAGAGCTGCTCTTGGAGGATTCCAAGATGGGCCTAGGGATGGTGTTAAGGGGCTGGCTGGGCACAACCGGCTCGCTAGAAACGGCAGTCCAGCTTTCATGGGGTCAGATCACGCTAGATTGGGAAATGGAAACAGTTTCGAGTTGGTGACTCGGCAGGGCGAGGTACTCAAGGAGCAGAGTAACGCATTGGAAAGGGAAATCTTGCGGGCCGGGGAGGGAGCATATGGGGCAATTGCGACGGCCTTCTCGACAATGGTATTCATGCTGAGGGCCATTCAGAGTTATGCGATGCATCTCAGGCAGCACCTGTCACCCCTACAGAAGCACGATATTCAGGTGATTGTCGGACTAAAGATTGTCTGAACTTGTTTTTGTCGGACTTGTGATTGTCTGGACTTGTCTGCAGTGAGCACTTCTGTGGAAGCTAAGTCAGCATCAGATGCAATTCTTGCCAGATCGAGCAACGACTGTGCTTAATGAATTTGACTACGTGTTGGCTCGCAGCTCAAGGAAGGGGCCATGGTTTTGATAATCCCATCCCATCAATTGTTCCTCATTTCTCTAGCTCAATCTGCTTGGCCTTTCAGTCTGAGCACAAAGGCTTTTCGATATGAAGGCGTTGTGCAATGGTTGCAAACACCATTTTCCAACAGATTTGCCTCATATTGATGATATGTACAAGCCACAAGCATCCCATTACAGATTGCTATCACTTCCTGATAGAATGCACCTTCTTGTGCAGGAGTTGATGACGATCGTGCAACAGGAGATCCACAGCTCTCTGCTATGGCTCTTTCAGACCGTGTTCTCAGCGACGCCAGTACTGATGGTGTCGGTCATGCTCCTGCTGGCAAACTTCACGGTCCATTCAGCTGGCAGTCTGGCCTCTCCGGAAGTTGCCGTCCTCGATCTCCTCAGCGCCTCTCCAATTGTAAAGGGCCTAGCACACCAGGAGGCAGCCTCAGAGTCTGGTAGAACTCAGGCTGAGGCTACAATAACCAGGCAGCTCTATCAATCGCCTGCAACTGAGAGCGGAGGTGCCGGCCAATTTCCTCTGAGGAAGATAGCACAGAAGGGCAAGGAAGGCAGTCCTGGCCAGGCAGTGCAGCTGCGACGAACTGCAGTCATTAGAGAAGAGGAGGCCACCCCTACTTCAAGCAGCACAAGACAAAGTGCCAACAGCCAAGCATCCACCTCCCCCAAACAGGATCCTCTCTACATGCAAGGCCTCTTAGAGCAGGCCGCCAAAGAGATGGAACTCGAGGTTCCCTATCACCATGTCAGGCTAGACCAGGAGGTCATCCGGCAGCTAGTTGCCCCGCTCAGCGTCGAGGTCGACCCGGACAATTACCCGTGTTTTGATAGGACGGAGCTCCAGTACCTGAACGCCATCGCAAAGGAACCCTCCAATGCCCTGCTGCTCGGCAACATGGCGATGTTTATGTACGTCGTGCGGAAAGACAAGGAACGGTGAGTGATCCGCAGGACTCACGATCAGCTGGAGTGTTCAAGCATATGGATGTTCTGGTTGAGAGCACGAAGTTGAGGCCTGAGGCAAGGACGTTTGTCTTGGCATTCATCAAACCATTTCTGTAGCACAATCCTCTCAGACTGATAGGTAGCACTTCTGCGATGGAATCAGAGTGCATTGCTTACGTGCAGGACAAAGGTCCACGCATCTGGACACTTACAGGAGCCTCAAATCTGCTATCCTCTTTCCAGGGCACATTCATACTTCAAGCAAGCTCTGGATGCGGACCCTGAAGATGGCGAGACATTGAGCCGCTATGCCTCCTTCTTGTGGCTCGGCTTGGGGAACTACGAACGGGCGGAGGTGGCTTACAAGGCTGCAATTGCATCTGATCCTACAAATCCATATTTCACTGGCAGCTATGCGCACTTTCTCTGGCATGCTCGGGACGATGAAACCTCTTGCCCAATTGGCGGGGTTTGCTAGGGCCCTAGATAGAAAGTACAAGACCTATGCGAAACAGTTGACCGCCAATACTTAGGTAAAATCATAGAAGTCAATAGTTCACCATCCAATTCTTTTGGGAGCGCTGTGTAGAGCTCCTAGAGTAGAGGGGTCACTCTGACAGTCAGTACATTGATATTCCCGAAGCTGTCAGATACGGTTAATATAACGCGCCAGAACCCGCCAGTACAGAGTCCGAACGATTTTTGTGATACCACCTGATGATGGGCCCCCATTAGGTACCACATAAGGTGCAGGCCGAAGCTAAAAGGTTTCTCTGGCTGCAATCCCAGTGTCTTGGATTATGCACTTCCATGCAACTCAGGTAATGGTTATACTTGGGTCGATGAAGCTCGACGTATGTAGCCAAAGCTCATGAGCAATCAAGTGCTTCTGTGAACTTGCAATGCGTTCAGTGCTCGAAGATCAGTCACTGTTCCTTGTAGCGTCCACGTACATTGCATTCGTTGCCAGGGGATCTCTGATCATGACAACCAATCAGGGAAGCTGCACGGCCTGCGTGTGAATCCGCAAATCAATCCTTTTTGGAGCAGGGTTGCATGTGACCATAGCTAGTTCCAGTTGCATTGAAAGGAATGATCCACGGGGCCAGGTCCCGTCAGCGGTTTGTTGACAAACCAGAACCTCACATGAGCTCCGGTCAAATACTCGGGAATCATGAAGCCGTAGCAACACATGACCAAAAGTAAAGGATTTAGTATCATCATTTTGACACTCACAGATTGTCCAAATGCATGCGATGAATGAGCAGGCTTCCAGAGGGCAAAGCAATATAGGTGGAAAGGCAGGCCTTTGAAGGTATCTTCGCACCAACTGGATACACTTTCAGCGCCAGGCGAGTTAGTATCCTGATGTGTACTTGTTGACGTACGACAAGAATGGGGCCGCACGGGGAGCGGACTTGACTCTGCTAGACCGTCGGATGGCTGCCTCGTCCAGAGCAAGCTTTTGTGAAAGCTCCCTTGAGCGCTTTGAAAGCGCGGCGCTGCAAGAAATGGAAGATATTTTTGACGGTCGCATGAGAACCTTTCGGAGTCAGAGTGTTGTGAAAATGAGGGGTTATGCTGTCTATTTCAATGCAGGAAGTGAGAACAACTAGTGGCAAGTGATCGGCATGTTTGGACTCCATGAACATACCACCGCCAATCAATAACAGCAGCTATGGAAGATGCAGTTCAAGTCATGATGCTTTCGCCGAGGAAGCAGCCTCTCAAGACCGTTTCGCTAGCATCGAACTTTGCGTCCAGTGCGAGCACGTTCACGTCGCTGACTGCAACTGATGAAACAATGAGTGCCACTAACGATGAAACACAATGAAACAGTCTACCGACAAGACTTGTCATCCCCGAAGATTTTCATCACTCAAGAAGGTGGAACAAGAGTCAACAAGCAGGACTGACAACAACGAGGCATTACCGATTCACAAACATCAAGTCAATGCTTAGGCCAATGCCAATTGCCTAGGCCAGCTGAGTAGAATAGAGGTCGCAAACTCCTGACCTGATTTTGGAATAGTGTCGCTCGAGCGCCCTTTGCAGCCCCCGCTCCCGAACGCCTTTCGGATTGAGGGACGTGAAGAGTGCGTCCAACTGGGAGCAAAAAAGTTGCGGGTCTATTTATGTAAAGCCGATGAACCATAACGTCAAGCCCGGGGAACGGGTGGGGATAGCTGAGGGCTCCGGTGGTTCGAGTGTCGAGCGCCGTGAACCACTGGGTTAGGGGTTTTAGCTTGTTCTGCTCGATGGTCCGACCTTATTATTCATGGAGCTTGGTAATCACAAAACCAAGAGTAAATGGGAGCGGAACACGTTGCAATCATGAGAGAGGATGATTAAGCACGCGCAAGTTACTGGAATGTTAACTGCTCTACGACGATGAAACCATTTTGGCTGGACGGATCGCGCTTCTGATCCTGGGACCTCCAAAAGCGGGAATTGGGACGGAGAACACGAGAATGTTGAAGGTCGCAGAGTTACAACTTAGAAGAAAGCGGCGCAGGGCTCTCAAAACGAGGCTTCTTCAACGAGTCAAAGCGTGCACACAACAGCCAACGTCACCCTTCTAAGGCCAGGCTGCGCTGCAACCGCGCTGCTCACCTCCTCTTTCGCCTGGTCGTAGCCCCACATACACAAGAACGTCCAAGTGAAAGCCAACAGTACCACGCAGAACCGACCCGAGACTTCGAAAGAGAAGGGACAGAAATATACACTTTTGGCGACTGTCGCGCGCTGAATTCTCGGAAAAGAAGGGGAAAGAAATATACACCTTTTAATACTGTCCCCGCGCGACCCACCTCCTCTTTTGCTTGGTGGTAGCCCCACATGCACGGGAACGTCCAATATACTGGACAGCCCTGAGACCTTGAAAAAGAAGGGGGAAGAAGGGAGATTGTCCGCGCACAACTCACCTCCTCTTTTGCCTGGTAGTAGCCCCACGTGGCCGAGTCCTCCGACTCGACGAAAAGACGCGGCTCCCGTGGGAAGTACCAGTACCGGTTGTGGTCCTTGTCTAGGCCCAGCGGTTTCCGCCGCACAAAGTACTTATCGAACTCCCGCTCGTACTGCTCCTCCTGCGTCAGGAAAGACGTCACGATCTCGTCAGGATGATGTTACCAATGTGAGAAGGGTGAGTCGCTGACCGTCTACTTTGTTGTGCGCATCCGAGCGCTGAAAACCAAAGGCTAGTCCAACGCGTTTGGCGACAACCTTGTCGAGCTCCCGCTCGTACTGCTCCGTCTATGCGTAAGCAAGATGCCGTCAGCGTGACCAGAAAGGTTATCGTGGACCATTTTCTGCAGAGTTCCGACTGCTTCCAGAGAAAACGCTATTCAGTAGCCGTCGAAAGTTTCACACACGCGTACGTTTCTCCCCGCGCATCATGATGTCTTTACGTCAGAGAATTCAAAACAGGGAAACATGTTCAACGCTCAAGGCGCCACACCCACATGCAAGCCATTCTCTAGAAAATTTTTCCTTTAAAATGTCGTCGGACGTGAAGTTCAACAGCTCCTCCAATGGGCAGAGCACACGTGTCAAGTCTGCAAAGTGCATTCGAAATTCTGAAGCTGACTCCGAAGTGTCTCTGGTACGCTCCTGAAACCTCACCCTTTTCTGCCGCTCCGCCTCCTCTTGTTCCCGCTTCTTCCGCTCCGCCGTCACCGCTGCCGCTTCTTTCGCCTTCTCCCGCTGCGCCCGCCGCTGCTCCTCGTACTGTGCGCGCCGGCCCTCCTCCGCCCGCTCGCGGTCCGCAGCGCGTTGCTGCAGCAAAAACAGCCGCGCCTGCGCCCGCGACATCCCCGCCAGTGCGCTGCACAACGGGAGCGAAAGCATGGGTCTGCGCCCGAAATGATAGAACGAAGCAAGGTCTTCACATGGGTCATCCAGAGTTACGATAATCCGAAAAAAACCTCAATAAAGGGTTTTAACCACAACGTTGAAGCAGGAACAGTCTCGCCTGCGCTTGCGACATCTCGGCAAGTGCACTGCACAAAGAAAAATGTGGGTCAAGCCTAACAGGCAGGGTCAACGTTCGTGACCGTAAGTTAAAGCACGCTCGCGGACCGCCGCGTGCTGCTGCTGCAGAAACAACCGCGCCTGCGCCTGAGACATGTGCGCCAGGGCGCTGCACAAGGGGATCGAAACCGGCGGGTTAGCACCCAGACAGTGAGGTCCTGAGCTGGGGCATCCTGAGCAAAGCTTTGAAAGTGGGTCGATTTCTTGACCAAGCATTGGCGAGCGAAAAGCCGGTGGCCATGGGTTAAAGACGAAACCACACTGCATATGGATTTTCAGAAATGTGGTTTAGCAGATGGGTAGTTTCCTGAACCCGCTCCGATTTCGGTGACGGGCGTTCTAGGCAAAGATGCTGCTAAAACAGGTGACCTGCTCCCTATGAAGCAGCCAGAACAGGTCGTGCAACTTTGTGAGCTTCCCATACGGCTATGACAACAGTCCGCTGACCAAAGTTTCTGGATCAAGATTTTCAGAAACACTTCGGGCAGGCCCTGCGAACACAAATCCGATCCCTCCGCCTGAGTTGACGTCCATTATAGCGGCTAGGCGTTCCAATCTCTGCAGTGAGCAGGTTGTGTGAGATACTGCTCAGGACAACGTAACGAGATAATGAGAGAGCGACCATTTCTCAGAAGGACCGCAGAAAAAGCTTAGAGGAGCCCGCACCTATTTGTGCTGGATGAGGGGGATCCCCCCCTCCCATTTCTGCTGACGCCATTCGCGGCCCCCTCCTCGCCCTCTCCGGCATCCTCTTCTTCCTCCTCGTTTGCTTCTTGTTCCTCGTCACTTCCCGCCGCACCTGCAAAACAGACGGTGACGTCAGAAAGCGTTCCCACGCGCCTCTTCGAAGAAAGCAGTGGTGAACGTCCGGAGGGGACATCGGCAGGGGCGAAAAGCGGGTGAGATGGTAATTGCAAAGCTCTTAGTCGCTCGTTCAGAGTCATGGTTTTGTAGACTGCACTGGGAACATTTCTATTTACTTTCGCTTGTATCTGTTAAGCCGTGAGCTCAGTCGCATTGATCATCTCAACCTTTACCGAGCTCACTAGAGCATGCATTTCCCAGGAAACTGTTCAGAAGTATCTGATGCATCAATGCACGTCATTCAATTGACAGAAATGATTTGCGAACAAAGACCTTTCCGTAGTACCCAAAGGATGGACACGACCGCCTCAAGAAACGCAGTCGATCAATCAACACTCTGACTTGGCCGTATATCACTTCACTCCCCTCACCGTTCTCTTCCCCTTCCTCCAGCACAATCTCCCCGTCACCCTCGGTCGTCCCTTGCTGCTCGATACCCTCTGCGCGCGCCCGCGCCTTCTCCTCCCTCTGGTGCTTCCGCCACTCCGCATCTTCCTCGCGCTTGCGCGCCTTCAGCTGCTGAAGGTCGTCCCAGTTCTGATCCAGCTGACCCCTGCGAGAACGGAATCCGATCTGAGATATGGTTGTGAGGTTCATTTTGCGTTACATCAGAGTGTCAGAATCTCCTGCGTTTTCCCCCGCGCTTTAGCAACCTATGCATCCAGGTTTGGTCCAGACCTCGCTTGCATGAAGTCTACTTAGGCTCCCGTTCCAATGTGGTAGAAAAAGAGAAAATTTGAAACAGAGAAACATCAGGCAGGATTCAACGGACAGTGGCTAACCAGGAATTTCCGAAACAGGGGCCAATCCAGGTAAATTGCCAGATGAAGGACCGAAGCGGGCCGTTCTAGACCATAATTTCCTTACATCTCCGTTTCGAGTGCAAGATATCCAGAGGAGTATTAACAAGACGGAGCTCACGAGAGTAACGAAGGGTCAAGATCCAGACGGCCCAAGGGCGACGCATGCAGACCTTCACAATTGCACGGACATGTTGAAGGAAGAAGAAAGCCAACCAAACTTGTGCAAACAGTCAAGCGTTGCCCGCACTTGATACTTTCCGTCTGCTTTGCAAGGTTCGCAAGTGCGGCCGAGAGCGCCACTTCCTTCAGTCGTCGATTCTCGTCCCAATAGTGCCCCCCCCGCGTCTTGGGGCTCAGTTTCAAAACAGGTTGATTCACCACAGAAGCAGACCCAACTAGCAGATAATCGAAAAAACCAATGAAACATGGGCAAACAGTCAACTGTCCCCATTACCTGATAATCTTGGTCTGCACAGCGTGGTCTACGGACGCCGCCAAGAGCGCCACTTTCTTCCGCACGTCGATCCCGTCCCAAAAGTGCACCCCGCCAATCATTGGTGCTCACTTTCCAATCAAATTCATTCCGCACAGAAGAAGATCCACAATTCAAACGGCAAATTGAAAGCCAAAAACAGAACCAAAGCAATCTGGGCAAAGAGTTGATTATGTTCCACACCTGATGATCTCGGTCTGCACTGCGTGATCCACCAGCGCCGCTAACAGCGCCACTTTCTTCCGCACGTCGATCTCGTCCCAGTAGTGATCCCGCTGCAGCGCCGACACGCACTCCGCAAAGCTCTCGTCGCTCTTCGGCGACGGCCCCGGAGGTTCCGGCGCCTTCTCTTTCTTCTGCTTGGGCGTTCCTTGTTCTTTTTCGGACGGCTCGGCATCGGACGCCTCGCCTTGGGACTCGTCGTCTTCGGACGCTTCTTCTTCGTGTTCTTCGCGGGCCTCGTTGCGCGCCTCGATGTAGTTGCACAGGTCCTCGGTCCAGCTCTCGAGCGAAAGCTGCAAACAAAAACGGCTCTTTCGATTTTCTGCTCGCTCAAAAGAAAGAGTTTTAAGTTCACTGTTCTGCCCTTGTGGTTGTTTTGAGCTTTAGGTCCGGCTCCCGCGAAGGTTCCGAAGTTCATCGGGCGTCAATGTTGCTGCGCAGGTCCTTGGTCCAGCCCTCGGGCAACAGCTGCGAGAATGAAGTGTCCAACGTTTCTCGGCACGCTGAGAAAGACCAGAGTTCTCAGGGACGCTCCTATGCTACCTAGATGCCCAAGTCTTTGGTCCAGCTTTCGAGCGACAGCTGCAAGAAAGGAAGGTTTAACATCTCCTAGGCCCCCAAACAAAAGGGTTCCATGACCACCTTTTCTGCCAAAGTAGATGCACATGTTCTCGACCTAGCTCTCAATTAGCAGCGGTGAAACGGAGGGATGAGGCGTCGAGTGGTCAAGTGCACAGCTTTGGAATCCGGATCTTCGCACATGGGGGTTTCCCAATTGGGAGTCAGAAGTGTCGGATGCAATCACGTAGCTTGGGTTCCGCAGATTGGCGGCAGCTTTCTGAAGAGTGATCATATCACGAAGCCGCACTTTCGTCTTATTCAGATGGACGTTCTCGACGTGCGTCCTCTGCAAAGACTTCCACATACCCAAACGGGTGACCGCACAAGGACTCTTGCTGCTGCACACTTTTTCAGTTCGTGGGTGGCAGTCATAGTAATCACACACCTGAGGCAGCCGCGCACGAGTGCATATGCACCGCGGCGAGCAGTATTGCAATGAGCAGAATATTTTGGAAGTTCGCAACAACGGAACCCACCTGCGTCGCGCGCTTGGACTTTCTCGACAGGCGGTCGTAGTGGTCCGCGTCGTCGAGGCAGACGCGCATCAGGTCATAGTACACCTCGGTCAGCAGCACCTAAGCCAGTACGATTCTAAAAAGTTTGGTAACCCAGAAAAATAATTCCACAGAACCAACCTGCGTCGCGCGCTTGGACTTTCTCGACAGGCGGTCGTAGTGGTCCGCGTCGTCGAGGCAGACGCGCATGAGCGCGTAGTGCACCTCCGCCAGCATCGCCACCTCGCCATCGCGGTACAGAAGCGCCGCCTCTAGTTCCTCCAATGCGAACGGAGACAGCTTCACTTGCTTGCTGCGTGAAGATGAGTAGAAACAGTGAGCTTTGAGTTTTCTAGAGACTTTCCTGCACAAGGTAAGGGCTGCGGATGAGCAACTTTTCCATTAGGATCGACGTTTCCTTTTCACTCGCGTATTGGGTTTCATTGTCAGTCGGATGCGATAAGGGACTTCGCAGAGAGATTCATCGCGCTTGTGCGAGCCCTTCTGCCCTCATCCGAAGCGCGAAACGGAACATTGTGCGTCCTGCGCTTGTGGACTTTTGTGATAGTGGCGTGAAGGGCTTGGTTCGGATCAACATTAAGGGGCAGCTCTGAAGAAAGCGCCAATGACACCCGTCCCAAGGCTTTAAAGCCCAACGACAAGCACATGGTTCCGGCTTCCCAAGCATCAAACAGCCCAATCCCCGCTGTTCTGCACACCAGCTTTTGGACGACCCATGTTTCCAATCTGGCATTTGAAAAAGGACGGTAGGCTCCCCTTACCTGAAGGACATCAAAAAATCCCAGACCATGAGCAAGCTCCCGACCAGCTCGTGCGGCACCGCAAAGTCGCGGGTAAGCGCGGGGCGCGGCCCGGGGGGCTTCTCCGAGGGCCCCAACAGAACCTCGGTGTCCTCGATCGGGTACTTGATGCGCTTCAGCTCGTCCTCGATCCGCTTCTGCTCCTCCTCTTCCGCTGCAGAAGCCAAAGGAACGGGACAGTCAAGCCCCACCCAATAGACTCGGAAAAGTTACTTCAATTCGCTTCTGCTCCTTCTCTTGCTGCTCAGATGCGAATGATAGAAGTATTGAAGCCTGATAGTCGGACAGCTTGAACAAGCTGAAAAGCGGAGGGTCTCTACTGAGCGCTGAACTCAGCAAGAATGTAAGCTGGCGAATCGGTCCGGCCTGCACCGACCCGAGACAACCTGCCGCAGAAGGAACACTCAATACAAAGACCGCTCGATGAAGCAACGATAAGGCCCAAATGGGAATGCGAAGGAAGGGAAGGACTCCTTCTTGAAGGGAAAAAATACCTCTTGAAGCCATCAAGTGACCGAATGGAAACGGACCGATTGGCAGGGGATTGACATTGTACTCACAGTCAGCTTCGAACCATGTCAGTACTAACAAATCCACCCGTTATCTGGACGACAACTCGAACCGCGCTGCTGGAAGGCAAACGTGAGCCTGGAAAGTTGCTCAGCGTAGCTCAAGACGGACAATAAGCACGGGCCTCTCTTCACCTGTCAATAACTGGTTCCCCGGAGGAAGAGCGGTGAGCTGATCCCAACTGTGCATATCAACTATTTATAGTATAAGAAATACTCTCCAAACCATTTGAGAAGCATTGAGCAAACGTCAACGACAGCGTCAGTGAGTCGCCCTCACCTTTGAGCTTGCGCTTCTCCTCGCGCGCCTGCTCCTTGTCCCCCTCCCGCTTGGCCTTCTTCGCTTCCTTGGCCAGCGCCTTGGCGTCCTGCTCTTCCAACTGGAAAGCACAAAGAAATGTATAATGATAATGACGATACATGTATTCAGAGTAATCAAACTCCAAGTGGCTCGATATCCTGCAATCCTAGCACACGCTGCAGAACCACGCACGTTCCGCTCAACCTGTGTCAACTGTTTGAAGTCCTCCTAGGCCGAAAGTCGGTCGAAATGGAACCCAATTCTTGTCGGAACAGCTTTCTTCTTTGTGACTGCTCGGTTTCTCGCCACTGTTCCTTTCCTCAGGCCTGCCCTGCCTGAGAAAAAAGAACCGCAGAACTCCGACCCGAACGATGAAGCTATGGCAGAGAAAGCTGCTCAAATTGTCATACGAAGAGGACCAATCCAATATTCTGTAAACGGCGAGTGAACGACGAAATTGACTGCGTCAGTGATCACGTCACTTGTAGGAATGGAGCTCGCATTGGGCCACACAAGTTCTTCTGACACTGATCTCGCAGATCAACAAAGGGTGACGAAACTACGATTCTGAGACGTAACAGTCTAGGACCCCAACGTCAGATCAGCAAACCCCTGATTGTTGATGCATCTCCCCACTCGGGATCGTGTCTATTCATAATCAGGAGGGCTTCCAAAGTCAATTAGCAGTTGAACCCGTTCTTCCAAAGTCCTAAAACAACGAATGTGAGGACTTTGAAGCCCACCTACTGCTCCTACGAGGTAGCTTGATGTTACTTTCGCCGGGGGGGCAAAGAAGGTTCTGATGATTGAGTAAAAAATCAATCCGTAGATCCTTACCTTCCGTTTCAGTTTGGCGTCCTTTTCAGCCGTCTTGTCCCCTCCCTTCGCCTTGCCCTTTGGCGACAGCAGCTCTCTCAATTCCTCCGGTGGCTCCGTAGGGATCCCGTACTTGCGCGCCAGCTTCTCGTGCACAACTAGCGGGGCGTTCTTTGTCAGGCCGATCGTCGCGGAGTCGCGGATGAAGGTCTTGAGGAGCGACTTCTGAAGGGGGTACTTCTTGCGCCTAGCAGAGGCAAGATTTGAAAGGTCTGATTCCGAGCCTAATGAGCGTATCGCAGTTGCATCATAAGGCCTGAGAGTATCACAAATGATCTCTGAGGAACCTTGCTGAGCCACTTCTGAAAGTGGTACTTCTTGCGCCTGGCAGAGACACAAGGAAGACAAGCAATGATATCAAAATCACTGGATACAAGAGGCCACGAGACTGGAATGTCCGTTGTTGATCCGGCAAATCTTCTCAGAGACTCGCTAAGGCTGACGATAAGATGCGGATGTGCAAGGGAGCTCACTCGAGGGTGTCCATTCCTTCCACAGTCGTGTCACAGTACTCTTCCTCAGCCCCGCTCGTGTCGCTCGCAATCCACCCAACCTCGTACCGGTCATTTTCGAGGACACGCAATACTCGGACGCGAATCCTGCAGTACAGGAAGTTCGATCCCGCGGTAAGAGCTTTTCTTCGTTGCTGTTTCTTCAACTGCTTGTCTTAATCAGAAGTGTGAAATGCAAGCCGGGTTTGTTGAATGGACAATCCCGTTAGTCCCACAGTAACAACAGCCGCTAAGCATAGAAAGTGCGACACATTCACAGCAAACAGATCCCAGTCAATGAGCTTGTTGTTGAACATTGGGTCTGCTTTAGGATGAAACGCTCCTGACTAGACCCGTCAGGGTTGCGACTTCGCTTTGAAGACCCCATACCTTCTGCGACAATTATGGGCCCTTGAATTCGAAAAGGAATTCCAAAATCGACAAAGAAGCAACAATATGGTGGCGACAGTTGTTTGTAGTGGTGTGCCTTGTAGAGATGACAAGCCAAAGGGAATCTTTGAGGACCCTCCACTCAACACTCTTCATTTTTGTGCAGGTCAATAACTCAGGTACAGCTTATGCATCCGGGGATATACATGTGACTTACAAGGCGCCCTCATCTTTCTTCAGCCCGACTTCCTCGCCCTTGACAAAACGGTCTTTGAATGTCTTGAAGATTGTATCCACAAGGTCGTCAAGTCGGGCTTGGCCTGGAAACAAAAGAGAAGCCACTGTTAACCACTGCTTAGATTACCCTTGTACCAGACATGCTAAACCTGTAACGAAGCCTGGTTGAACCGGTCAGTGCCCCTTCCAGTTATCTTAGCTGGCTGAAGCGAGGTTGTTCGTGAAAGGTTCGTAGACGACGTGAGCTTAACCGGCTGCAAAAACTGGAGGTCAGAAGACCCAATTCATCACCGTAGTTAAGAAGGATATTGTATTCACAGACAAAGGTCTGAGAGCAATATGGAATGTCTCCACTGATGAGAGCACCTAAGAGCACCTGAAGTTTGAGAAGCGAAATCAGCTCTCGGCTTGCCTGACTCATGGTTCTTCCGCGCCCATATTGTGACTGAGGTGAGTGCATTCATCAGCGCCCACTTGTTGCAATGGATTGCAAAGGACGGAGGTTCCGAATGCAACAATCATTCGAAGTGCAAGGCACGCTACAACTAGAGCGGGATACTTGGGCTTACTGAATTGAATCATCTCTAGCACCGGCTTGACGTAAGCCTTGGGGAACTGTTGGATCTTCTCGTTTGCCCGCTGCTCAGACAGCAGAGCCTCTTCATACGTCAGGTTTGTTTTGCCGGTTGCCTTACAGGTCCAGACTCGCTGCCTGTACAAGTTGACCCTCCCAATGTAGTCCCTGCATATAGGAACAGACGTCTCAGGACTGCTTAATATGTCAGAGGAGCCACTTTGACTGGTGCAAAATTCCCAAGTGTGAAGTTCCATGGGGGCACCAAGTCAGTCTGGTTCCAATCAAATACGCTTCTTACAATTGACGCTCATTCAGGGGTGTTGAGATGCACTCCATCTTTTCTATTACGACTTAGACAAGTCAGCACATGCGCCCTTGTAAGTGCAGCAAGACCCTGCTAATGGGCTTGTTGAAAGGAGACTTTTGCTGCATGTATAAAACGGCCTTGGTGAACTTTTGCAGCTTCTAACGTTGAGCGAGTGGAAGAGTGGTCCTCTTAAGCATTAGGGTTCTGAAGGGCCTCTCAGACCAGTCAACCACGAAAAAAGTGCCGTCAGCACTTGCTGTCAAGAAGATCTGCTACAGCACCAGTTAGACGTCACTAATCACTGACTCCACGGGGACACACCTGCCATCAACACAGCACAAACGACATAGAGTTCTTTGCAGAAAAGACATGTTGCTCTTTATTCACAATCATAGAAAAACCTGTTGAGACACACCGTCCGAAAAGGTGGTAAAACCGGCTACATCCAGTAGTAGTGGTGTAGACAGCGCGAACAATGCAAGCAGTCTGCCGACAAAGTCACAACGGAGACCTTAAACAGGACCAGCTCAAGATCTGTGATCCCAATTGATGGTCAGAACCCCGTGAAATGTGATTTGCATGAAACAGTGAGTGGCGCATTTCACATCTTCAAGGCATGGTGCGGGAATACCAATGACTGTGGGCTTACTCATACTCTCGGAACACCTCTCCGGTTATGCGGACCTTAAACACTTGCTCATTTGGTTCCAGTCCCTTCGGGCGCTTACTGAGACTATACGGTTTCCTCTTCAAAAGAGGCATGCTGGCCTGTGCATAGACACAAAACCAGGGACCAGTCTCTGCTCAGAGAGAGCAAGTTGCCAACTAAGCTCTTAACTATTACTGCTTTACAAATAAACGGTGGTTTGCTTCTAAGATGACCTGCAGTTGCATCTCAACGGGGACTCTCAAAGGTTGGGAGCTGGTTTCATCCACCATGATCCGGAAACCTGAACCTGATCACGACTGATAACGATGGGCCTCGCCCCTGTTCTCAACAACCAACTCCTCCTCGTCTTCTGCCCGCACTTCAAACCCCCAAGTTCAGGCTTCCTGTTCCAATCACTGGATCAGCAGCCTCAGCTGCTGCTTTGCCCACATTTGATTCTGAATGCTGAGCAGAGTGTCGAAAGCTCAGTACATCAGAAGTGGAATGAGAACAGGCCCAAATGCGCCAGCTGGCAGTCCAGACTGCAGTGCCAGAACTTGAGTGGATTTTGGCGCGAACGGATTTTGAATGCCGCTTTAACGCGAATGAAAACTACCCTTTTCAGTTGTAACAGCTCTGAAGCCGTTCGATCAAGCAACTTCATTCGCGCTACCGTTCGATGCCTAGGCAAGCTGATCTGGGTACAATGTTGCTTCCTTCGCTTTTTACCTAGCCGGCAGTTGTCTTCGCTGCCAGTCACGTGCCAGCCTTGCTCCGTGCATTGTCAGTGGCGTGTGCCAGTCGCTAGCACCAGGTGCACAGGTGGGCTTTTCACACCACATTCGTTCTTTGATTGCTTCTGAGCTGCTAGAGCACTGTTTCGTCCTTCAGAACTTGAAGTTGAAGACGCTCTGTCTGAGGCGCAGGAAGGCGCAGGCAGGAGCTTTGGAGCAGGGTTCCTGCGCATTCCACTAGTGTGTCTTTGGCAGCCTTTGCAGGCTGTCAGAAGCTTGGGAGCGGTCACAAGCATCACGGAGGCCACTCTCAAAGATAGCTTGGTCAGCTCAGCATGTCTCAGTCAGCTCAGATAAAGAAGGCTGGGGATTGGAATTGTCCCCAGTGCACGCACTTGAACTTCGCGCGCCGTGATGCCTGCCAGCGGTGCCAGGTGAGAAAAGTGGCACACATTGTGACATGATACTTCTTGCATTCTAATCATCTATTTTCCAAAAATTTGATTGATGATTACAACCTGCATTTCTCTCATTGCATGGTGGTAACCTGAATGGGACTCTACCTGCATTTCAGTCTCTTTTTGCCCATTGCTGATTGAATGGTATACAGAAAAGTTCTACCACCTTGTTAGAAGGTTTATCAGAAGTGTTCTACCACCATGTTATAAGGCATCCTGAAAAACATCAAAAACTAAAACCCTCCTCCTTCTTTGCCAGACGCCCCGCTTTATGGCTGATGATGCCAGTGGTGGAGAGGGGACTTGGGGTCTGCAGTATCAACAAGGCCCTATGGGGAACTTTGCTATGGAGCAACGCGTAGGAGATGCTGTTGGGATGGCTTCCAATGTCCGCCCTGGTGACTGGTAAGCAGCAGGCTTGTGCAAGTTCTTGGGGAGTTGCCACATTCAGTGCAGTCATACCACTCAAGTGGTCTTGGAAACTAAGAGTTATGCAATTCACAAAATCACAGGCTATCCACAGCCAAACCATCCTGTCAAATGTGGACTGAGCATGCTAAGCTCGTTCGTTTCTATGTCATTTTGCAAGTGCTTCCTTCACGGATCAAAGAAGGTGGTCAAATCATTTTGGTCTCAAGATCATCTTTTCCAAATAACTCTGAACATGAGAATGTATTGGTGCATTCTGGTGGTTATGCCGCCTCACTTTCTTCGCAGGTTCTGCACCAACCCCGCTTGTGGGGCGCACAACTTCGCAAGTCGCCAGAGCTGCTTCAAGTGCATGGTTCCGAAGGTCGGTGGAAGTGGCGACATGCTGGTAGAGAACAGCAAGATAAGCAAGCAGGGGTTCAAGCCAGGCGATTGGATCTGTTCCAGGTGCGTGCTGTCCTCAAAGCCGCTCTACTTTCTGCAACGTGGTAATGTAACTGTCAGATTCAAGGCTTCTTCTTCATGGCCAGAAATGATAAGGCAATCTCTCCACATCGTGACGAACTCAAATCTGCGCTGATGATGGCAAATGAACAAGTCACATACCAAAGAGGCTCACAACTCAAAGATCTGCAGCGCAATCGCCACTGCAAACATTGTGCCACCACTCACAAAGTCGGAATATGCTGCCACTTGCTGAAACCTGCCAAACACGTCCCTGTACCATCAATCTTTTAGTTTGTTCAGAACGTGTTGATTTGTTTAATTCGCCTCTGCTGACATATTGGACTGTGCAGGACCAACTGTGGAGAGCACAACTTTGCCAGTCGAGCGGAATGCTTCAGGTGTGCGGGTCCTAGGGCTGCAGACATCGGTAAGTCTGTGACAAGTTGCAGGAAGAGGATAGCAAGCTGTTGCCTTGCAGGCTGCAGACTCTAATGTCTGATCATTGTTGAGTCAAATTTGTGCTTTGTTGCCATTGTGGTGCCACAAATGAAGCTGAAGTCTGGATTGTGCTCTGTGCGCAGGTTCTGTGGCCAGAGTGCAGGGCTATGTCTTACATTTCTCAATGCTTCCCACACATATCTTTGCAGATCTTGCTATCTGAGTGGCACTGCTGGGAACTTTCTGAAGGTATCAAGCTAGGTGGAGATGCAGTAGGGAGGAGGGGACAGCTACAGGTGTTTGCTGTGTTGTTCAGGGGACAGACAGGGTTGATTTGTGTTTTTGACTGGGTACAAAACGACAATCGCACGCATAATTATCTTCAGGGGCAGACTTACTGAGGTTCGGTAGACAGGTAGATTACTGCATCCTCCTGCGCGTACATTGAGAAAGTAGTGGCAAGAACTGCGAGGATGCAGATGGTGCCAAGAGATCACTTGGATACATCACTGGCGGAGGTAGTCTAGAGGTTGTTGCAGTGCGCTGCAATGATGGGTGTAAGACTGACACCGGGCGTTACCTAGGACCTGAGGTGGTGTAGGACTGAGGAGACTCCATTTACAGCAGGGTCCACAGATGCTATCATAAGTTGCTCATAAGAACAGCGAAAGCACCTTCTCAGCTGATATCCATGAACTGAAAGTGTGCAAGTCAGGGACTTGTTTTGAAGTACATTGCTTGCGAAAACGGAGAATGCAGGAACTGAGAGATTGTTACAATCCAATCACAATCTATCAAACGCTACAATCAGTTCTTAGGCACGATACCGGCAAACTTCATGAGTTGTTACATCTATCATATACATCCAATGATATTGAAGACTTGGTGCCTGTGGCACATATGAGATGACCCTCCTTTTACAAGATTTGAGCTCTAGGGGCTGAAGTCCGGCCGGTATTGCAAAATTTGCGAGTTCGTGACCTCGGCGCATTGTAAATTCAATTAACCTGAGGAGCCACTATTTGCATGTACCCAATCACTGGTACGCAACATGGTCACTGGCCCACACGTGTTGGCCCGGCCGCAATGCATCATGTATGCGGCTGGCATATGTTGTGGTTGGCGCCTTGAAAGATTGGCATGTGCATAATATTAGCCTCTTCAAAATTGGGCTGTAATGGTGTTGGGTCGAATCATGCCGCTAGCCACGTCAGCTGGTCAAGATAAAATCATAAAGTTAGTCGTCTCTCCAAGTCAAGTAGGATTTCTTCCGCCTTTGGAGACAGATACTGCCACCAAAGCTGCGCACAATCTACCAACTGCTGGCCGCACAGCGCGGGCGGCTGCTCCCCGGGCTCCCTATCCCGGCCTCGTATCCACGGCTTATGCCGCCCGTTAAAATGCAACACGCGAGCCGTGTCTGCAAACGGCGAGACGAACGGCTTCTTTCCGTGGACCCCTATCTTGTCGAAGTAATCCTTGTCGTACCCAAGCTTCGCGAGACCCTCTTTTTCTTTGCCTATAAACTCGTCCCGCGCGAGGCCCCGCACGTTCCACTCTAACGGCAGCTTCATGTACTTTTTGTTGGCTGCGAGGAGAAAAGGGGGCTGTGCCTGTCCGTACCTGCCGGTGGGAAAAAGAATATTAACATAGTGGGTTTTCGTCGACGAAGAAGCACACCTCAGGGTAAAGCAGGTCCGACAAACAATAAATGAAATTGTTTGTACAGAGAAAATTTGGAGCACGATCAACCATAGCGATCGCAGAAACTGCGCCCTCCTCTCTCTCGGGCAAAGACCGAGTTTCCCGGCAGATAGCCCTCTCGTGCTCATTTTCTCGGCCAAAGGGACGAAGCCAAAGCGCTCGGTGCTCAGCGGTCCACTCAATCGGGACCGATACAACCGCTTTCAACGCATGGAACAGACAACAGCGGCTGAGGTACTCGCCGTCGATCGAAGACAGTAGATCAGAATTCCGGCTCATCGACATCGACTTCGCTCCGCCAACTCAACAGAAGGGGGCTAAACGATCTGCTTCGAAGATCGCCAGCATTCCTTCCGATTGGCCGTCAGAGATAAAGATCGCCCACTCTAATTGAAACAACGCCGTCACGTCAAGGTGACACGTAAGGCTGCGGTCAGCCCGTATGCTACGTTCGGACTCGCTCAACGCACTACGAAGTGTGCCACTTCTCGGCGACACGAAAGCAGGATTCGGTGCGTAGGAAATCGCCGCAAAAACCACGTGCTTAAACCTCTTTTCAACAATTCGCAAAACGCCGACTGAAAACGCGGATCGATCTCGTTTGAGCCCCTCACCTGTAGAGCGCCGCCTTGCCGCGCCCCGAGTGCTCCATCCACCATTCGATGTGCCCGGTGATGTTTTTGATGAGCCAGAAGTTGGCGTTCACCGCCATGACGCCCCGGTTGACGCTGCACGCGCCCTTGTCGTAGCGCGACTCGCGGCCGGGCTCCCCGGGGACCGCGTCCTTCTTGATGTGCGCGAGCATGCGGAAGTCGAGCACCAGGCCGAACGTCTGCGAGCAGTCCTCCACCTGCGAAACGTGCGTCCGTGGCTAAGTCAAGTGCGTTCAACTTTTGGTGACTGGAGTGCGAGTGAAGTCTCGGCAAGTGGAGTGCGTCCAGTCCAATCAAGTGTAAGTGTGTGTCCGGCAAAAGTGCGCAAATCGAAAACCAGGCCGAGCGTCTGCGAGCAGTCCTCCACCTGCACACGGCATACCCAGCAAACGTAAGAGTATGAGATCCTTTGCGATCGCCTGCAACCAGCGGAGGGCTCGTCGAAAGCAATCTACTTTGGCTCGTCTTCCAACAGGATTCGGTAAAGTTACAGGGAAGTTGAGAAGAGCAAAAGAATGCGGAACTCTGAGTGCGAGGCCGAACGTCCGCGAGCAGTCCTCCACGTGCTCGAGGCATAATTCCGTTTCGCTGATTGTTATACTAAAAAATTGAGGAGGGCTCGTCGACCATATAAATGACATCCATTTCCATGTGCATACGGAGGCTTGTCATCCGATAAGACGGGATTCAATCCAGAGGGACGAGTACAGTAGAGCGCAATACTCGAGCACCAGCCCGAACGTCTGCGAGCAGTCCTTTACCCGCCTACGGCACGTCCGAGCTTCGGAAACTGGTAACTGTAGTAAACCTTCTAGCAAACTTCAAACTCTTTTCGCTACTGATACACAGTAAGGGGCTTGTGTGTTACTTGTTCAAAGAAACGAACGTTAGCTTGGTGGGACACCAAAGATCAGGGACTTGGGTAGATCAGTGAAGAGCTTCAATCCAGATTTCTCGACTGACCTTCTATTGCCGTACTTTCAGCATCTTCTGGACTGAGTAGTACCGTATCAGATGTGAAGGTCGAAACGAGCATTCTGCGAATCTTAGGAGCGTCTGCTCGACGGGAACAACACCAGCAAGCTCGTTATCCGACAGAGAGGAAGAGTGAAAATGAGATTTTGTATGAATCTTATTTTTCAGAATCCTTCGACTTTGGGCCCGCTGGCGACCGGAAACCGGGATCTAACTTTGAACGGCCTTAGCTTCGCGTTCGCTCACCGCCGCCAAGGGGAAGCCGTGCATCGCCATGTCCGCGAGCTCGGTGATGTCCGCTTTGACGACGACGTCTGTGTCCAGATAAATTATCCGCTCCAGGCCGGGAGCGATGTGCGGGAGGTAGTACGGGAAGTAAGCGTACAGGCTGGTCAGGCCCTGCTGCACGTACGTGCCGTTGATGCGCACGAGCCGCCGCTTGATGGCGTGGATGTCGGCGGCGTTCCTGAGGGGAAAACAAGTGGTTTGAGAACGGAATTGAAGGAGCATGCGGACCGCAGTTTGCAGTCGCAGACCCCCAAGCTGCTTGGTGCTCTATGCGCGAGCGAAAGGGGGCTTGATCACGTCACTGCCGGCGAGGTTTGACGTGCCGGGTTGCTGGCGACCTAGCATAGACGTTTTGAACCTGTAGCCCCGAACGTTAGACTGTAGGTGAGATCGACGTTGGTCGTCGACAAAGTACATACCGGTCGGGCGCGCTTAAGCTTAGTCCCAAGCCGTGTGGGGGTCAGCGTTCTCCTTTCACCGGATCTGTGAGCATGCCCCAAATTTAGTTGTCGCTTACTTGCAGTAAAGTGGTGTACTGCAGGATCCTTTTACCTCAGCCGCACTACTTTTCTCCATGACGTATCGAAAGGATCATGACCTTGAGTACTTTGCTCTTCCGGTTCAGAGCGACTTTGACACCACTTTCGTGACATGACAAGAAGATTAGGCCCGTGACAGGAGCGTGAAGCTGCTTTGTTGTGCATCAGACTTCAAGAACCAAAGATGCAGAAACCGAGACATGACCATCAGCCAAGGTCCTACAAAGCAGGTCGAAAACAGTTGGCACAGAGCATGTATAAACACGGACCTGAGGGACAAAACGAGCTACAAACAGAAAGCTAGGTTGACGGATGAACGGACTATTTTCTACTGACCCCTCTGGCCTTCAATAGAGCTGACCAGGTACGAAGTGTTTTTCCTCTACACGAAGACATGACAGTAACTATCTTCGTATGTTCCAAGTACAATCCTTTCATGTTTTTAGACGAAAAATATAAATATACAAACAGAATGTTAAGCCTCAAAAATCTTACTCGTTGATTCCAAAAGCAGTGTTGGGGAAGATGAGGCTGAGGACTTTGGAAGCGTAGTCTGCATATGCTGGGGGCAGGATGAGATGAAAGAACAGGCGTTCAGGGTACCTGCGGGGAGAACGGAAGCCTTCAAGCCAGACACCTTGTTTCCTGCAGATCATTCCGGAAGGCGCTAAAGCTAACTAGTAATATACACTCAAACGGGGCACATACAGGGCATCTTGGAGGTAGAAAAGACAGAGCAAGAAAAGGAGGTGGATCTCAGCTGGGAGGACGAAAGTTTCTACATAGAAATGGGCAGGTCCGTTTTGGTCGCAGGCCTTGACTTAACTGACGGCACGAGGCAGACACCATCTTGCCGCTCCTTGGAATGGAGCATTTGTCCCGCTCAAGTGAACGCATTAAACAAATGCCACCGGTCGGTTCTGCAACGTGTTTAACGATTTGCTGAACTACGTGTGTGAATGATGCTGAAACTTGACAATTGTCTGCATATTTCTGTTCACGCACCTCGTATGCACAAGCGTCGAGTTCATGACCACCACGATCGGCCGCAAGTCCCGCTGGTCGCTGCTCATAAACACGTCCACCGCCTCCCCATCTGGCCGCCCCGTTGCGGCACGCACCTCATCGTACTGCACAGTCACAGGCGCCGAAACGCTCCCCACAATCACCGTGCTTCCGTTCCGCCAGTGCTCCACCCGCATTGGCCCCTCATGGCTCGACAGCGTGGGAGTTTCTGAAGGGGCACTAGTGATGAAGAGAGTGACTGCAAGGACTGCGAGGAGCCAGCACACGACAGCAGGCCAGTTGATGCGCTGGTGGGAAGGGCCCCACCCCCGAGGGGCCCGCCGCCCCTTGCGGCCTCCCTTCGAGGGGCGCATCGACACAGGGACGCTGCGCGATTGGGCTGCTTCTCTGAAAGATCATCCGACCAGAGTGTGATTCTACCGGACCATGTTTTCAACAGTCCTAACTATGCTTTAGATCACAGGTGTGCAGTAAGGTTTCTCTGCTTGGACCTTTCGGATTTACGTGACGCGCATTTGTGTCCCAGAGTGTTCTGTGTTTGGACCCTACTTGCAGCTAGCTGTGGAAGTTTGCACATGAAGAGGCACATTCATGAACGGGAATGCAGCCAAAGGAGCACTGTCAGGTGCCACTGGCTAGTCCAGGTTGCACATCTTCTCAACTTTCATTGCTGTGTACTGCTCCTCGCCAATGGTGAGACCCTTCTCTATCAAGTTCTCCAGAGAAGGAATCTGCTTGGCCCTCCCCTGAATGCAAACCCTCCGCTTTCCTACTCCCCTCTCTCACATCCCCAGCGTTTGGAATCTGGTGCCCTGCCTCTGAAGGCAAGAACAGAGTCGCTAGACACAGGTTTGTGACACACAGAGCAGCCTTCCTTACACAGAGCAGCCCTCCAGACTGCAACAACGGCAGAAGTAGACTTGACTAGCGCAGTACGCCAGAAGAGGACCAGCAAGGCGCCACTCAAGCTGACAACTACAATTTAGAGTGATTGCCAGTGCCAGTAACTTCTCTCTTCAGCAGAATTGACAATGAATCATTTTAATATGATCGTTCTCTAGAATATGTTTAGTAAGGGTACCGTCACTTTGAGGTGGCACCCGGTTAGGTATTTTAGAGGCACTTTGGCCAAAGGGTCACAAGCCCCCCCCCCCTCCCGGCCTTGTCTTCACAAAAATGGTCAAGGCCCCGGGCCGGTCAGCCACCAGCCGGGCCAGAAAAGCACTGTCGTATACACATTTTTGCCCTTCTTTTACGTTGGGAAGTGCATCTTGGTGCATTCGAGGGCCTAATTCTCAGTCCCGTGGGCTAAAAACCTGCTAAACGAGGACAAATTAGCACCAAAAAGCGGAATCTCTATAGCTAGGATCCAGCTGGGGCTGCGCCCCAAGTGAAAGGCCACAAGCACCCCCCCCCTCCCCGCCTATGGTTGGCTGAAGCAACCCAAGCCCCCCCCCCCCAACGGAATACCTAAGGGGGTGCCACTTCAAAGTGACGGTACCCTAAGCTCAATGTTTAGTACTGGGACGGGTAGGGTTAGTATGGTGGTTAGGGTGCGGGTGCGGAGCGAGTGATTATTTGGGTTTAGGTTTTTAGTGTTTAATAGCTCGTTCTTACTAAACCTTGAGCTTACTAAACATAGTATGGCCTTATGAAGCACTGTCGACGAAGAGAGATCTGCAAACTTAGTGAAAAGCCAGGTGGGGCTTCTGAACCTGTTCGTCGCGCCTGGCGATGAGAAAATGCTGTACGCGTATAAAACTCGCACCGCGTTTGGAGGCTAAACCAACGTCTTTCGGCCGATCCGTCGTACAGTCGAATTTTAGAAACTGACTTACAAGAGCGGTCTCTCCGCTTCTCTCGCCCTCTTTTCACGTCCGCTCAGCCAGGGGGGCGCATTTGAAGGGCGCAATGGTGAGGAGTGGACCCTGGCAGTACGTATGGCCATCAGATTAGCTGCCAATGTCCTGTGCAGGAGCGAAGCTTTCGCCTACGTTTAGTAGCTTGATGCAGAATTATTAGGCGTTGGAAAGTGGGGCGTTCTGCAAGTCCTGTGAGGAGGGGTTGCAACTGCTCAAGCTGCCAGGATATCAGGCGTATAAGTTGGTGGCAACTTCTGGGAAACATAGAAACAGGTTGAGTGTGTGAGTAATTCTGGGTTTTCGCAATGTGCAGGCGTTCGTCAAGACCATCAAGACCAGGTCTTACTTCAAGAGGTTCCAGGTCAAGTACCGCAGACGCAGAGGTATGTTGCCAATCTAGCTGGTGCAAAATGACGGAGTATGCGGGCTGAACAGGACAGGCAGGCTGGCTTTTAATCGTCGCTCTGTGTTAGGTGCTGATCGCCTGTGACCATTACCACTTTGGTATGGTAAGAGTGGGAATGGAACAAGGATGTGCAGTCCTGGGCCCTACTGTTAGGTCCTGTGAGCGCTGAAAGATCAATTGGGTTGTCTGGGGCAAGAGCTTAAGGTGACTGGGCCGCGTGAGGAAGTGGTAATGGTTGTCCATGGGTTAGCTAAGCAGGTTGTGCGCAAAAGTCATGGCGTCCAACTGAAATGTCTAGACTTATTATTCAAAGGCACCTGCTTGCGCTGTTGTTCTCAGAGGGGTATGTGCTGCATGAAGAGCCCATAGTGCAGCTACTTGCAAGGAAGCAGCAGTGCCGTAGGGCTTGGGGTGGCCCAATTTTAGGGGCCTTTTGAGGTCGTAAGCTGGATGCGGGGGCCAACATGGGTTGGTGTATGGCCACACGTGCAACAAGTCTTGCAGTGTTACTGGATATCAATATTGCTCCCATTCTTTCGCATTTCAGAGGGAAAGACCGACTACCGCGCGCGCATCCGCTTGGTTACCCAGGACAAGAACAAGTACAACACCCCCAAGTACCGCTTTGTGGTCCGCTTCACCAACCGCGACATCGTGGCCCAGATCGTGTCCGCCAAGCTCACGGGGGATGTGGTCCTGACTGCCGCCTATGCGCACGAGCTGCCCCGGTATGGCCTCAAGATTGGCCTCACCAACTACGCTGCTGGTGAGTCAACCAGGTTGCTTTTACGGGCGGAGTGGACACCAAAACGCGGGTTGAGAGAGCTTCCCGTACAGTTATTTGTTTGGACGTGGAGAAGAATCAAAAGCCCTGCTGATGGCATGTGCTTTGCGGAGTCCTTAAAAAGATATTCTTGGCTTGTAGAAGTCGGTTGTTCAGGTTACTTAGCACCTTTGTACTTTGGGATCGGGTAGCTTAGGAATGTTGTGTTTTCAAATGACTGTTGCTAGGGTGTGCAAAAGTTGTGCTTTAGTGCGCAGCCAATCATCCGCTCCAGTGCTCCTGTGACTGCTAAAAGCTGTGCAAATCCAACTTTTTCTGGCCTCTTAAGGAGCCTCTCCCCCACTAACTCTCCCCTCCCTCCTCCCAAAGCCCCCCGCGCGCCTCACCAACCCCCTCGCAGTGGATTGTGTCTCTCATGGCATTAATCCGATACTGCTCGTGATCATTTCCAGCCTACTGCACCGGGTTGCTCTTGGCCCGCCGCTTGTTGAACAAGCTGGGTCTCGATGAGATGTACCCGGGTAACGAGGAGGCCACTGGCGAGGACTACAACGTCGAGGCCGGCGAGGAGAAGCGCCCCTTCACGGCCCTGCTGGACGTCGGGCTTGCGAGGACTACCACCGGCAATCGCGTGTTCGGCGCCCTGAAGGTGAGGGGAAGTTCGGTTGCTTGCTTGCCTTGTACCTTAAAAGGTTTGATTCTGCTTGTTTGGCATGTCAAGATGGGGGCAAGTGACGTGTCTTTTTGAAGACAATCACAGTTGCTGGTTTCTTAGGAGGATTTGTTGAAGAGGAAGGAATCGATGATTCAGGGAGTTTATTGAGGAGGAAGAAGTCAGGAAGGTCGAAGAGGAAGGAGTCAGGGAGGTCATGCAACTAGACAACTGGTTTCGCCGACATCTGCTTGGCAGAGAGGAAGCATAATCGGATTTAATGAAGAGGTCCCTTATCTGTTACAGAATTGTGTAACGTTTGTAGACATGAGTCATGTTTGAGACACGAGATGTGCTTACAATGTCTGGCACATTGAGAACAGTTTTTAAAGACCTGCTGACGACATTCTGCTTGTCCTTTGCCAGGGTGCCTTGGACGGTGGCCTGGACATCCCCCACAACGAGAAGCGGTTCCCTGGGTATGACAAGGAGAGCAAGTCCCTGGACGCGGACACGCACAGGCGCTACATCTTTGGCCAGCACGTGGCTGACTACATGGAGGTGAGGGGCTTTGCAGGTGGAATTTTGACGGATTGAATTTGGCACGTCTTGAACATGCGAGGGCAGTACTTAAGGTGACTCCCAGTTTGTCACCTCATACATACTCGAGTGTCTGCTGCTGATGTTCGATGTTGGAAGTTGTCTTTTCGTTGGCACACCATTGAAGGAGGAAACTTTCAAGAATTACACGACCCCCCTTCTTTCCTCCAAGATGTGTCCACACTAAACGCAAAGAAGCCTCACGTCTTTACCTCTCCTTCGTAGTCTCCATGCTCCGAGATGTCAACCCCTAGTCTCCTTGTTGGAGAAGATAATCTTTGTCGGCAGTTCTTGAAGGTGTCAATTTCAAGAGCACGCAACTAATTAAAATATCTGCCACTTGAATTAAGCGTTCCAATATATCTCCACTAGAGGTGTCAGGCTTTTCAATGCCGATTCTGAAAAGGTGTCTTATGTCTTGGCAGGCCATGAAGGAGGACACCCCTGAGAAGTACGCGGCCCACTTCAGCAAGACCGTGGCGGAGGGTTTGGAGCCCGACGAGCTGGAGGACATGTACAAGGAGGTGCATGAGGCCATCCGGGCGGACCCCACTGCCAAGCTCACCGAGAAGAAGAAGCCCGAGAAGCCCAGGCAGTGAGTTTCCTTGCATTTCTTTTGGATGCCCTTCGTTGGTTGAATTTTTGAATCTGCAAGCACTTTCAAGCGTTTTCGATTGTAACGGAAGGTACAATCCCGACCGACATGTGAGGTCGGTGGTCCGTCCTTGATTGAGAACTCTAGGGCTTTTGTACTAGGGGGCTCGAGGAAGTTAGAAGGGTAGGCGGTGACGGGCTTGCACTAGCGGGGATGGAGAGATTGAAGTGTTTGAAACCTTCACCATTCGTAATTTCTTCCGGGGCACATGCCGGAAGACCGAGCCTCTGGCAGTCAGTGTTGGTCGGGGGCGCTTCATTGTTGTACACATTGGGGCTGACACCGTTTTGTTCTGTTACTTTTTTGTTGGGCATGTTCCGAAACACCTGAGACGAAGGGATTGTGGTCAGATCCTTTTAAGATTTTCTAGAATCTTCTAGATAGTGCTGGACCACCTCCACGGTCGCAAGTGCGTTGCTCAAACATATGAGTGAGGCGGAGTAGCTTTAAGAAGCGACCAGGCCTATCAGCGGAATCTGTTCTATCAAGAAAGAGTTCTGATTGTTGGCCTTTCGTTCTTGCAGATGGAAGATCAAGAAGCTGACCTATGAGGAGCGCAAGGCAGCCTTGGTGAAGAGGCTGGCGGCTCACAACGAGGCCGACGAGTGAAGCTGCTTCTAGGCCTTGAGTTGGCAGGGTGACTGACGGTGCCCCTTTTAATACATGGGTTTTGAGCAGGGTCCTGCAATTGTTGTCCTGTCGCTTTATGTGGGGGAAAAACGCGATCTTGTGGCAGGACTCACGTCACGCGTTGCATGCTGATGTGCTTTGAGACGTGCATTGGCTGTGATTTGACTATGGTCACTTCGGTGTGATATGCACGGATGTGTGTTGTGGATGCCATGATGCAGCGTGTATGTTATAGCAGACGGAACAGCTCTAAATTTAGCCAGATGCCAGACACATGCCGGCTCAATAGCTTTGCAAACGCATGTGACCCCAGTTATGTTTCGAGCATTTCATGTATCGACGGGTTTGAATTACAGCTCACAGGTGACATTGACCCGCATTGATTGGCTAGCTTTTGTGCATGAAGTAACTCTGAGATCATTATAATACGTCAGCCACATTTTGCACGATTTTGTCATATATATGGCCAGGCAGCAATCGATTATAGCTTCAAGATTCATAGAATGGTGTGTAGTGCACTAGTTGCCAACTTAATCTTCCCTCGCTTGGTGGAGTTAACAAATAGCTGGCAGGCTGTCCACAAACCATAGAATTTGCACGCATCGATTTTGCTGCACAGGACAGCTTTACTTTTGTCAGTGTCAACCAGCGTCCCTTACTATTTGCAACTCACGATTCAACACATGATTTTCACGTCTTCGACTTTGCGAAAGTGTGTGAGCTTCTTCAATAACTATGCGAAGCCTTTCGACTGTTTTCGCGTCAGAGGCAGCCTTCTCTTCGTACTTGAGATTATTCGCTGCCACCTGATCATTACGTGCTTCAAAGTTACTGAAAATTGCACTCTGCTTCAGCTCACTCACAACATCGAGCAGGGACTCCGCAGCTTGTGTCTGCATAGGAAAACGAATTTGAAGAGTGTGTTTGAGGCGCAATGACCTTTTCTGGGATGCTCGGGCAAAGATCCTCAGATCCGCAGGCTCAAAAGTCTGCACTAAGTAACAAACGACAAGGGCAAGAAAGGCTCGATGCAACAAAACCAGAATGAAAGGATGTGCGTCGACAGGAAAATAATGATAGGGACCTAACGTTGTCAACAGCAGTGTAGAACACGGCTTACAACATGTGGGGATGTCTGACATGTATCGTGTGGGCACAGTGATGGTGCAAAATGAAAGTCTGCTGCAAATATAAAGTGCTTCACAAGGTGCCCCAACTTACAATCTTCGCAACGTGGACATCGATCTGAAAAGCTTCCTGTGTGTTCCGTGTCTGATCCTGGACCTGCATCCAGACAATTAAGGATTGTTTGAAGCTTCAATCAGCATTGAAATTAGGCCCTTGCGCAGCAAACAGGTTAAGGATGCTCGTCCCAAAACTTCTCAATCAGGTGCAACCTTCAGAATGAACAATGACAGCAGTAATTGTCATGGCTTTCCCTAAGATTCCTCCTCTGCGTGGGGGTAATCAAAATCATGAAGGAAGCACCAGCTGTTGCGAGTTCGTCATAAGTCGTTCACGGTCTCTCATCAAGACATCATTAAGTAAACGGCAATCACTGGGGTCGGAGAAAGGTGTAAATAAGGCAGTGGGTATCTTGGGATGAACAAGTCTGATCAGAAACCAAGCGAAAAAGACTGGCGAAAACTGAGTCAGACTAACTTTGCACGCTGCCACCATGTTGCTGAAGTTCTCCACCAGACTATTCAAGTCGGAGTCCACCCGCTGCTGCAGATTCCGCTGCTTCTGCAGGGCCGCCTGAAGAGTGCTGGTCCCAAGGGCCCCGGCGCCAATCTGTGCTTTGCCAGTAGGCTGAGCCATGACTTCGGTGATGTGAGTCTTCCAGTACAAGCGACGTTGAGGGGCCTAACAAGCTTTCATCTCGTTTCTGCGGCAGCCTGCTATTCAGCGAATGCAATCCTTCAACTCCGTGCTCTTTCAATGTATGCCTTCAACCTGCCTTTGAATGATGGTGGGGCTTTCTAGAGATTGTCAAACAGAGAACAAGCGTCCTTCATTTGTTTTTTTCAGCAGACATGCTAAGCGAGGGTGTTGAACAGGCCTGTTGAGTAGAATATATCAGGGACTCTACAGTCAAGACTCAAGAAGGAGAAAGGGCAGGTGCCCGCTGTAAAACAGACGCTCTGAGCAAGCTGTTCCAAAGATCGATGAAGTGCTCAATGGAACCTCGTCTACCAACATTGGGCTTCTTCCACCCCTCAAGGTCTCTGCAGCTTGCAAGTAAACGCATCACATCTCAATATAACTTCCAGACTTCCAGTCCAGCTGCTCGCATTGACTGAGTCCGCCTGCAAAGAAAAAGACTGCATTGCCCCATTGGTCATAGGTACATGCCTCCAAAAACAGACCCTGACCTTCACGTACACAACGAGATCCTGCGCTCCCCTCAGAAACTGTCGGCTTGAGAAGAACCACCATCACCATTTTGAGCTTGCTTCCACCTGCTCTCTGTCACGCTTCGCTTGCAGATTCCACACGCGCGCTGAGCGGGCCAGCTGCGTATGCCGTCAATCTAATGGAATTTAACACTTCGAAATTCTTATCAATGTCCCCCAAGAGGAGTAGATCAGAATTTGCTCCGGCTGGAAATGGATGATCGATGCGAGACGGAGCGCTTATGACGACTCGACGACAGCTGATGTCATTTGAAAGTGGATAGAAACAAGATCCTGGGATCTGTATACATACCGTATGTGGGCGAAACATCAGATTCTCCTCAGAAGCTTCTTCCCCATATCAACGTCAAGCAAGCGCCAGTGGAGCTGCTAGCCGGCCCCTTGAAGCGTCTGAGGCCGTCAGCTGACCCAAGCAGGGACAATGCAGGCTGTTTCCAGGGCTGTTGCGACGGGGCCGGCGTGCCTGGCAGCCCCTGTGTGCACATGGAAGCCGCGGGCGTCCGCCTCTTTTGGCCAAGCCGCTGCATTGCATTCTGTGCGGGTGTGCGCACCCAAAAGGTTCACCGGGAGGCAATTGCTAGCTGAGCAGTTTGCTGAGAAGCGAGTTGGAAGAGGTGGAGCCCTGGCAGTGGAGGCAAAAGCAGTGACGGTCCTCGCTCCAGTTGGTGAGTCAATGTACCAAGACTTGGTTAAAGTGAATGTGATGTTTGGGTTTGAAACCCTCCTGTTGTCTTTTTTGTGAACGTTTTGTAAATTGAAGTTCTGAACCTGTAATGCCATCGCATTTGCATTCAATGTGCAATGCAGGGGCATTTCCACTTCAGAGCTTCGTCTCCTTTCATTTCAAAAAATTAGTTGCTCAAAGCAATGGGGCACTGCATTTACATTCCCCTCCCTCAGTGCCTGGCATATGTGTTGGTCCTAAGCACTATCAAGCTTAGAACTTCGAGTACTGGGAGGGCACCAAGAATGGTCTTCTGACCAGATTAGAAGCAAGTGCACTCCAGTAGTCAGCTGTCACAGATGGAATTCCTGCATTTGTTGCTCATATATTCAAGGTCTCATGATCCTGGACGCTTGAACTTTTCTTTTGCCAATCTACACTTCAAGAACACCTGGTTTGGCAATTGCCATCTCTTGTTTGAGATACATCTCTAGTGCACGGATGGCTCTGGCGCCTTCAGACCTGCCTCGTCCTAGGTGAATACAAACGAATCAAGTCCTGTGAAAGCTGCTCTGAGGGCCGAACTCCAAGTTTTTTTTTATCTATTGTCTCTGCTTTAGAAGCTCTTCAGTTTCTCATAGTGAGGACAAGCAGATTCTTATGTTGGGCGAGATGGTGCACCCTTCGTGCTGCATTGCTCTAGAATGAATGAAAAAGAACAGATTGGTGACCTTTTCGGCTTGATATTAGGAAGCGTCTTTTGCTCTACTAGGGGCTGGTATATGAGATTGTTGAAAGCTCCTGCACTTCATTCGCAGACTAGCTGGGCAGGTATGTAGATAACCTCCAGAAGTAGCATATGCAAATCTGACAGGTTTTGGGAGTATCGAGTATCGAGTATCGAGTATTGAGCATTGAGCATCAAGTAGCGGGTGTCGAAACAAAACGTTGCGTAGACTCACTTCAGTGCCAGACTCCCCTGATGGGCCACTTTCTTTTGATTTGTACACGGTGGCGGAGAAGATTTTCTTCTGTAATTTTTCACAAGAGTCGCAGAGGGCTTAGGCCTCCTGCTCATACTAGGAAGACAGGATTGGATTGCAGGCTTAATATGATAAATGTAAGACAAAGGGTGTCTGTTGGAGGACTGCAGACAATACTGCCATCTTACTGGCTCGCTTGATTTGTGCTCTAGAACACAGATGTAACCTTGCCAATTGCAGGCGACGGAGCGACTGACCACCTGGACGAAAAGACTGACCCGCCTGGTGAGATTCGGGTGGACAGCGACTTTGTGGTGGGGCGCACTGACGACCGTGCTGACTACGTGCTGCCTGTAGCAACGGGTAAGTTGGGACCAAGCAAATGCAAGGCTCAGGAAAGCATGACCTCCGAGGCGAAGAGACTGTGTGAAGGCTTCAATGTGAGGAAGGCATGTTGCTTGAGCAACGAGAGGTGGCTTGCCAGTCTGCTCTCTTCAAGGTTTAGGAGAAGATGGATAATAAGAAGCAGAGCCGCTGGAGTCGTCTGAAATGTTTCTGCGGACTTTTGAAACAGCTCACAACCACAGACTTCCATGTACTGCCTGATGACGTGCCACTCATTACTAAGTCCATGGGAAGTCAATTCAACGCCCAGAGAATCTTGGAAGCCTTGTAACATGCACCCCTTGTCACCCGTTTCCTAGAGCAGCCTGGACACACGAGTTTCTTGCCCAGCTGGCATAGTGACCAAGTATTCTCCTCGGAGGGTTTCCAAATTTGCCAAACTTTTCAACTCAACAGAAACTCCAAAGCAAGCTGACTCTTGGAACAGACCATAGTTCTGCACTCATTTAAATCTACCTTTTCAAGTCAGATCCTCCTGTCAGTGTAGCGGCCCGTTGCTATCATTGTAAGAACAGACGAAAAGACTGAAATGCGGATTTGAAGAAGGTGGGAAACCGGATCGCGACTTACTCTTGAGCAGTCTCGGATACCCGTCGACACGATTCTTCGACTTAACAAGCGACCTGCCGTTTTATGTCTTCACAGTGTCAGGAGCTCACGCCAAGGTCGAGAAGAAAGGAGACAAGATCTTCATCACCGACTTGGAGAGCACAAACGGCACCTACATTGACAAGAAGAGAATCAGCTCCAACACGCCCATTGAGTTGAAAGTGGGCAGCACTGTTGTCTTCGGTGAGTGTCTACCAGAGTTTTCTGTTGCTTTTGTCTCAAAGCTTGGGTTATGGACTCTTGCTGTCCGTGTATTCGCCTGCTTGGGCTGCTTGGCGCAGAGAAGCAGAAAGGAAATCATCTTCTGTCATTGAGAGGTCAATCACTAGGATCATCTTCCTCCATTGAGGAATGCAGATCACTGGATACAATACTTCCGTCACGGTTGTTCCCGTTGCCATAAGGTTTTGTGAAGAGCCCGGTCGTTTTGTGGCACACGTACTCAGCTTGTTTCTACGTGTTGCCGCCAATTGAAGCCCTCTACTTTACAATATCGTGAATTGTACAGCCAATTTGAAAACGGATACGTATGCTGACCGTTTTATCTTGGACACCATCTCTTACTTTCTCATCGATTGCTGAGTTCGATGTTTCATTGTCAAGCTTAGAAGCATCGACTTATCACAGTCGGCTTTGAATACCAAGAGCTCCAAGCAGACGATACACTCCGGTTGATAGTGACTCTGGTCTCCCTTGCCAAGTATTAGCAAGACGGTACATCGGGACGAATGAACTCGCTCTCATTTGGGATCCTCAACCGGTCAGCAGTTTGGTCCTCGAAGTTCAAATGCTCTCGCAGCAAGGCAGCCGTATTTCGGGGTCGCAAGCACGGCCCTTGAGAAACGTTAGTGCCTGAAGCCAATCAAACCGATTCACTTTTGAGTGGTACAACAAAAACTGAACAAATAGCCGTTGAATATAGTCTTGCTGCCTACGAGCCATCGTGTACAGTCTTAACCTCTACCAATCGAAAATGTCTCTTGTCTTGCAGGTGACGAGCACCTGGCTGCCTTCAAGCTGGAGTCTGTTGAAGAGGAGGAGGCGGAGCCAGCAGCGGCGGCTGAGTAGAAAGGCAAAAGCCGATTACAAGACAGGCTGTGAATGTATTCTTATCCCTACTATCAGCGGATGTCACGCCTTCGTTACAGGATGTTTTTGAACTATCGTGTGTGTGTGTCGATAACACTGCCCGAGAGGGCCTTGCTAAGGAGAGTCAAATAAGAATGCAACAGCGGGTTGTGTTTGAGAACCTGGATATTGCTCTGATTTTTTTGCCTTGGTAGTTTCGCGTTGTCAACCAGACAAGAGGCAGTCCTGCTAAGCGGTCCCGATGCTCCTTCTGACTATCTCGAATAAGGACTGCTTTCAGAATGATTGCAGATTTTTGACATTGGGGGTGCGATTATGCTTAAGTGACCCCCTTGTTTTTATTACCCTGGCATTTAAGTTCGGATATGTGACACGCAACCATTCCGTGTTAACCTCATGTTCTTTAAATTTACCTGCATTCTCGTCGACAGTAGGATCCTTGTGCGGACGGTCATGCCGTCGGATGGGAGGTGTAGATAGGCTCAGTGTGATAGTCATATTCAGATAAACACATTTGCGTTCGACTCACGACCGCCTAATAAAACTTTTGGACGGAGCTCAGTCACTCATGCACAGGGGTATCCTGACTCATTAGTACGTCAATTGCCACCCTGTGCACATATTTGCACATGGCCGGGCCGGCTTCACTGCAGTGCAATTACATGACCGTGCCATGCAGCACGTTGTCGTCAGGTTTGATGCCAGAGTCGGATCGAGCATTCGCATTTGCCAAGTATACGAGTCTTCGCATTGTGCGCGCCATGTCCTGTGCTATCTGATAGTGTGCATGGCACTCGTGCGATCAATCTTATGAAAATAGAAGGGATGCAAAATGTTTGCATATTGATCGAGGGTAGGTAGGCGTTCAAAACTCAAACATTAATTCCCATGTATGCTGCATGGGAGCCTATGGCTCATGTGGCTACGGCGTCTGAAAAGAGAACATCGGGTACAGCAGCTTGCAAGCTGACCTAATATATAGGGCAATGTGGCTCCTTAATTATCGACTGTGTATATCGGATAACATTAATCGAGGGGATGCATCTGTCAGTGACTTGATCATTCAAGTAAACAAGCTGGCTGAGATGCGACAAGTGGGACAATCCTTGAGGTACTTTCACCTGTCCATAGCTCGATTGGTAGGTCGAAAAGCTGCAGAAAGGACGGCAAGTTTGTAAACAAGAAAGCCCGCTAGACCTCCTAGAATCTGCCGAGGCTCGAGACTCCTCGTGTCATTCCCGCCCACATATTTTACAGCAACAAGGCCCAATAAGGCAACTAAGACTAGCCTACTCGCAGGCCCTTTGGCAATGAGAGCTACTTTATTCAAAATCCTGTCAAGAGGACCTTCGCTGCGACTGCTTGATTCTTGTTGTTCCGAGTGCGTACCAGATGACCCAACCGTGCCTGTGGCTTCGACCGCCTCTCCCTTTCCTAGCTGATCTACCGTTCGTTCCAGCAAGAGAAGGTAGAGCAACCCCGCCAAGCCCCCGGCTGCGAATCCAATACCAACTTCATCGCCAAACGCAAGCTTTGAGCCTAGCGTGCCAACTCCCACCAAAGCCGCAGTGGTTCCTAAGAGAAACACCTTGAGCTCTTGGTACTCTGCCAATCCGGCCGCCCTTGTAGCGGCCAACTCCTCCATCGAATTACTCAATCTGCTCGTCAGTTGGCTCATGGCGTCCTCAGTGTGAACCCCCGCCGGGTCTAGCTGCGCGGCAGACTCTTCACAGCCCTCCCCAATGAGACTTTCGTTCCACTTGAACGAGTATAATACAGATGGTATTTTGTCCAACTCTGCTTCTTTGTCTCTGTCTCCAACCACACTTGTGTCACTATTTTGGCTGCCCTTGGAAACCTCCGATGACCCGCTTTGATTGATGTCAGCATCTTGCCAAAGCATGTCAGGAGCAGTTTCACTCGCCTCAATGCTGGCCTGTTTCACAAGGACGCCGGCTGCTGCTGGTCGCCAAGTTCCGCTTACAGGGGACAGCCAGACCCTTTCAATGCTGTCCAGAGAAGGCCCCGTGAAATGAGCTTCTGCCGTCGCGCCAATGTCAAAACTCCCACTCAAACCAAAGACCTGCGGACCTTCATTCTTCTCAGCGCCGTCTCCTTGAGTATCTAACTTTCTCAAGACGAATTGCCCGGCTGGCCCCAGAAGCGCGACCATAATGCCATCCTCAGGCCGGCTCAAACTGGACCCTGTGGAGCGGCTCGTCTCTATCCTGACAAAGTACTTTGTTTCTTGGCTCTTAGCTACTTCCTCTACCACCGAAGAATCTTCAGAGCCTGCTCTCAGTGCAGTGTCTTCTGAAAGCATGAGACATGATGCGCGTCTTCTCTTATCACGCTGCAGGAGCAAGGCAGAGCCGCCAGGCGCAAGCAAGAAAGCGCGGTTCTTTGCTTGCCACTTCAGCTGCACGCATCGCAAAACTGCCGCTGGGGAAACCCAGCTCGTCAGTCTAGCACAATTGCAGCTCGCAAAAGTGCGTCCTGTGGCCCATACTCCTGTCTTGAGCTCCAAAGCGAACCTAAGCTGTCTCTCCTTGCTGGCCGCCCTGCTGGCCGCATGCAAAACACCAACCGCTGCCCCTCCACTTGCCAAAGTGGTACTATTTGCCGCCATTGGCATTGGACAAGCTTGCAGCAAACTTCACAAGATCTTGGATATAGAAAAGTTCAGGAGAGTAGAGAAGCGTCTAAAAGCAGGGCTCCCTAGCTGGAGCCTGAGGGGAGAATGA